TGAAAACAAGAATTTCTTAAAGTTCTGGTAGTAAACAGGCATATGATATTATTATTGTTGTAGTCTTAATTAATAAGCAATTATACGTTCAAAGTGCTTTACAATCACTTAGCTATTCCTCACAACAGCCCTGTGAGGTAGGTCGACATTATTACCCCCATTTTACAGATGGGGAAACTGAGGCACAGAGAGGTTAAGTGTCTTGCCCAAGGTCACACAGCAAGCAAATGCTGCAGCTGGGGCTAGAACCCAGGTTCCCTGACTCCCAGTGTCCTTGAAACTAGACCACACTGCTTCCAAAGAGGCATCCCCAGACTGGCTCTGAGCCCGAACTAAAGACAAATGATGTTAGATGCGGTTTGGGTGTGGTGGCATTTTCCGTGGGGCACGTTAAGATGGAACCTGAGGTGTTGTCTGGGTTGGTTTTGGCATGCAGGGGTATGTGTTAGTTTCAATGGGTGTGTCTGAGCTTCCTGGCCTGTCCACTTCTCACTGCATTCTGGCCTGGGTCAACTGCAGAGAGCAGGGCCGGCTGGTCATGACGTACTGGCATAGGAAAGGAACTGTCAGCTCAGCGCCAAGGGGCCTGCCAGTCTTTGGGAGCTCGGGCAAACTAGGGATGCGGGACTTGGGAACAGAGTCAGCTGACCACCTTAGGCAGGTCTGCTTCGTCTTTTTATTCCTTTTTTTTTTTAAAAAAAAAAAACTGGCCATCATCAGGAAGTTGTGTTCATTTCATTTCTCACTCTTTCCCTTTCTCTGAGTCTCGGCTTAGAAGGGAAATGTTAAAGCTCGTAAGTCCCCTTTCCTGAAAAGGAGCCACCGTGAGCAGCTTCCGTGACAAGCAGCCATGGCTCTGTGGCCGAGCCACGCCCCGCTTTCACCTTCCGGAGGGGTGCCGTGCTTGCCAGGGGTCTCCCAGGGGCCTTGATTTGCTCTCGCCTGCATTTCTCCTGAAATGCTGTGTCAGTAGAATTAAGCCCACGTGAGAGGTTTGCCCTTTCAAGGCCTTAGCCACACACGCCTTCCGACTAACCAGCTTGGTGCCGTAGCTCAGGCAGAGAATTCTAAAGCATCCGTTCAAGCATCTGAAACAAATGAATCAGCCAGTGAAATCCCATCTCTTAGCATTTGTTCTCCTCTTAGATTGAAAAAGGAAAACAGGTAAAAAGCGCCCTCTCTATGGCTTTAGGTGGAATCATGCTTTTAAAAAAATAAAATTAAAACCAAACGAAACCAAAAACAAATCTCCCTACTTTTCAAACTAATGGGATCCTCTAGAATGAGTCTCTTGGGAAGATCTCATTTCCCATCATCTTGACACTTTGAGCCTTCCTGAGAAAGTCATGTCAGCTACTGGCTGATTACAGCTCTTGGCTGGTGGTAGACCACCCACATCTCCCCATAGCACCCACATCTGTATCTGGAAGCTGGGGCACTGGCTTTAAAACTATTCAACCTAACAACCTAATTCTGTATAGCCAGGAAGAAGTCTTCCCCTTAAACCCAACTTCCAAATAGGTTTAAAAAAATCACTATCCTTCTAGAGCTTTTTTAAAATTAGGATGGAGGGGGGTTCCCATTGGGTGCCAGGGGATCAGAGCTTGAAATTCTAGACTGTTGAAAGAAAGAGAAATGAACAAACTTTTCTCACTGTGAGTGCTTTTATTTTTCATATCATGGGGCACTGGATTCACTAGGGTCTGTAACTTGCACAGATGTCCCCCATCTAGAAGTATAATGGGACATTCCCCACGCATGGCGATCCAGCTGAAAGGGGACTGTAAGTTTCCATGGCTACATGGCTGTGTTCCTTTATTTTTTGCTCCTTATGGAAACTGATAGGTCATTAGGATGAGGCAACAATGGATGAAGAGCAAATGCTGAATTAAACTCAAGGGAATATGGTAGAAGATGAGTGAGAGAAAACCAAAAGGCCTGATACAGCTTCTCTCTGGCTTTTCTCCATAGAGAAGGTTGGTTTTAATGATGGCGATGGTGGATGGGTGGATGGAAAGTGCACACTCATTCAGACCACAGAAGCCAGAGGACACCAGTGCTGAGCTCTTCTCCATATGGAGGCAAGAGTGCCCCGAGCCACTCCCCTCAGCGGAGAAGGCAACACTGCAGTTGGTCTGAACACAGGGAGACTGAACACAGGGCTGTTTAGAGCCCAGAGGGTTCAAACCACAGTGCTTCTGTGTGCTCTTGAGAGCCCTGCTGTGGGGTACACAGCCCAGGGGCCCATTCTGAAAGCAATTCAGACAGACTGCACTCTCCGCAGTCCCGCACGCACATGCCTGTGTCTTCGTTTCTGCTCACACCAAGATGCCATACTTCATTCTCCACTAGCAACCAGCCTGAGAGCCAGGCTGCACCCTGTCATGGGAAGAAGCAAACCATTCCCTGTTCAACAGGCCATAGCTTCCTGTTCTAGTTGTGGTCAGGACGTTTGTTTCATGTCATAATGACATAATATGTCATCAAGGAGGAAGGGAAGCCTCCTCATGTGCTTATTAAAAATGGAGTTAACAAATTGCATTGAAAGCTATTTCTATAGTAGAAGAAGCCCAAAATATGTAATTAGAATTATCCTTCAAGGAGACCGTTTTTTTTTTCTATTTTTGATGCTTGCTTCAAGAATCAAATCCATTTCCAGAATTTTTCTGTCAAGATAATGAACACAACTTAATTTTCTAGGCTGTGCACTCAACATAAATTATAAACCTAGTCTCAACTCCCAATGGAACCATGTGAAAATGTGTTGGCATCACTAGAAATATTTAACTTTTGCTAAGGAAATGAAACTCTTTCAATAAACAACAAAATGAAAGATGTTTAGTACAAAGGAATCCTCAACATTATTTTATCACAAGATACTGGTCTTTAACCAATAACATACTGTATACTGTTAGCACCATCTGAATCTTCAGCCTGAGGTTCGATAAACCCCATACATGAAATGTGGGGGTTACTTAGTCATGGATTGTTTGTGCATGTTTTACAACACCAAAAGACTATCCAGACACCAGAACAAGTATACTGAAGCTGCTGGCTCACTAGGAAGTTTTAGAGGCTCAGAAAAAGTATAAATAACCATGTGTCTAAGTGGTTGCCAAAAATGTCCTCCACAGAAACAGAAGGGTCTCATAACACAGAGCTAAGCTGATTATATCATGGCATAAGCTATAAATGAAAGACACATTCCCCCTCCAGAAAGTCAGGTTCTAACTTTACCAATTAGGCTCCTAAAATAGCAAGCAATTCCCTCTAGAGAGGGGTACCCACAGGACTGATAAACCTGTCCAACCTTTTCTTTTAGGCAGATGGCTACCTGAAGGAAAAGCTTTTAGAAGCATGTGCAACTTTCCCCCTCCTGGTAGCCAGTATGGCCAAGAAAGTATGAACCAGGGACCTGTTCAAATCTGGAGGGCTGTCACATTTTTGAAAAACAGATCAGTAGGAGATAAATGAGCTTCTACTATATCCCTTTGCTCTGAGACAGCAACAAGCCATCTGATTGAGTCTGTGACCTTAGTGAGCTCCCAAAAGGATATATAACCAGAGAAAGATCAAAGATGGTCTCAAATAGGATTTGGTGTCCACCTGTCCCACCAGCATGCTGTTCTCCCCAGCCCTTATGGCTGTTCAGACAGAACAGAGATTTCATTGTGAATCAGCCGATCACTGCCACGCAAGGTCATCTACTAACCTACCATATACACATGCGCCCATATCCCCCATTCACCATTACTCATGTTCGTATTCTTTCTTGCCGTGAGATCACAGACAAGCCTTCACTTCCATAGTTACCATTACTTTGAACATAGAACATTTGTCTCTGGGAAAAACCTCCACATTAAACCTTCTCAACACCTACATGAAGCCACATTTAAGACATATGATAACAGGGACATACAAGTAATTTTAGTGTGAACTTAAACAGAAAAGGAGACATTTCATTATCTTATTCATGATGAACTTAAGACATCCAGATAACAGAGCTGACAGGCTTTGTTTCTGACAGCCTCTGACCTCTGTAGCTCTCCAATCCTGCTCTGAACATCTTTCCCAGTCTCATCTCTCTGCTCTGCCTTCTCCATCACCAGACATGAACCACAATTCCTAGTGCCTCTTCCTGCAAACTGCTATGGAGTCTTCTTTCCCCTCTATATACCTGCTACCTACTCAGAGCTTTGGGTTGACCTACAATTCTATAGCCCTTGGATGTGTGGACCCTGATTGGACTAGAGGCTCCTATAAGTCACATCCATACTGTAGAGGTGTGGAGGATGAAGCAGGAGGGCCCCAGGTTAGAGGAAGGGAAATGGGCCAGAGCCTGGCCTAGATAGGACAGAACATATCTCATATCTCACAGCATATCTCACAGCAAGCCACCGTGGCCATCAGAAGACTGCATACAGAGACAGCCATACCATACTCATGTACACACCACACACACACACACACACACACACACACACACACACACACACACACACACGAACATAGTACACACTAGGAAGTGATGGATGTTACTGAAATGGACCAAAAAACCAGCAAGCAGTGGGGTAAGAAACAAACAGAAACAAAACAAAGCACTTGCGTTCAGATGGAAAGCTGTTCACTGGGCAGCAGAACCCTGAGCCAGGGCTGTGGGAAAGATGGGCCTGCCTACAGAACGTTGCCTTTGGAGAAGATTGGAGGGGACAGGGTGTGAGGGAAGCATTTGTTCCTTCCTGTTATGGCCATGCTAGGGACCCTACACACTGACCGGCTGGTGGCAGGGACAGGCACAATGGAGAAGGCAGAGGGTGGGGGTAGCACTTACCTCGTGGCCCAGAAATGGCTAGTCCACATTTGGGGGAGTATGCAGTATCTCAGTTTAAACAAAATCCTTGTGGTACTGCTCAACCACGAATAGGCAGCTCTCTAGTATTTCAAATAAGCTTGTAACATTGTTAGTGAAAAAAAGAAAACAGAACAAGAGGACAATTCACCTGTAGGGCAATTGTGGTGTTCTTCGCAGGGTACTTTCCCACCAATCCTTGTTCTTTCCGTTTCTTGAATTTCCTAAAGTAGTCCTGTATCAGGAAAGTGGCATAGAACTTCCCCACGGTTACCTCATCATCTAAACGGAGAGACCAGACACAGCTCTCCCGAATCAGCACATTTGGACCAAAAGCCTAAACATATGCTTCTGGCTGGGGCTGGGGTGGGGCAGGACAGTGCGTAGGGCACTGATCTCTTCTTATCCTACAACATGGGGCGTTCAGTCTAGCAAAAAGCAAGGCTTTGCAAAGCAGTTAAGGCTTCAAATTAGTCAGTTACATGGACTGATGTTCAATGTTGCATAAAATATTATATTTAATTATGAGAGTTTAATAGAGTAGTGTATTAGTAACGATATGAAATGTCATATTGGTTATTCACTTAAAATAAAAAATTACAAAACAAAATGGCTTTGCAGGTCAGGTTTTCACCCCCTGTGCATAGAGATTTGCATGTGTAATTACCATAAATATCAAATGCAATTAACCATCCAAATCCCTATGTCTCAAGATAGAAATCTAGAAAGGTGACACATAAGCTCAGAAGGAGAGGAAGTTTCAGAAAAATGACTGCAGATCCAGATTTTTCACACACTGCTCCCCCATCTCTGCCAATAAGTTCCAGAGCCCATTTTTTGGTTTGTAATTCAGAATTGCTGGTTTTCAGCATGGTAGTTGACAGCTCCAACTAGCCCCAAGTTGAGCTGGGCTTGTTTCTGCTCTGTTTGGAAACAACATGGCTCACTGGGGAATCAGAACTCTGCTGACAAGCTTTATGGTGATGCATGAGGCAGAATAGAGGCTCTGGCCATCTTATGGTAAACCACCTAAATGTGCACACATGACCCCAGGCCTCTCAAGAGTGTTGCCATCAGATCTTCAGCATGCTGGGGTCTACTAGATGGACAGCTTAAGGACATCTTGGCAGCCAGCCTTGTGTGGAGCCATGTTGGGGGCTGGAGGCCCCCAAACTTCACTTACAGAGGCTTGAACAGCTGCAGATCCCTGGGCTGTTGGCCAAGCTTCCCTTGCAAGAGTCATGGATTGAGAGCAAGAAGCTCAGCCTGTCTGAATCTGTGTTCTCATTGGTGAATTGAGGATGTCACTTCAAGAGCTGTAAGGATGGCATGAGAGAAGGCATGGAAAGCACCCAACCTGCTACTTGGGTTGTCTTCAGGGCCAAGCACTGCATGACTACAAGCCACCAGGGTTACTATGATGTTTACACTCACAGACGAACCTACTGAAGTAGATCTTAAAGCCTGACAAGCCGGAGGGGGGTGTCAATGGGACCCACTGTATTCACTATTACATCCTGAGTGGGCTCTATTTAGTGTCCACAGGAGAGGCATTGCCGATTTATCTTTCCCACCTGGAGACTACGGGGCCACTTTGGATGGCCTCTCCATCCCTCACTATCAGAAACTGCTCAGTGTTGCTTAGTGAGGAGGCTGTCTTGGGGTGGTCTATTCTTGAAAAATATTAAGTGCCTTCTACACATACTAAACCAAACCAGAAACATCTTGGAGTAAACCTATGTTACATGTAAAAACGTGAGCTTTAATCTGACTCGGGCTTGCCTAAACTGTCTAATGATGCAGTGTGGCTAGGCAAGAGGAAAAGCAGAACTACTGAGGTTGGGACGGCATACTCCTTGCACTGCTCTTCAGCCTCTGCCCATCTGGATTCAGATGGTTAGTTACTGAATCGGAGGAATTCTGTATGTGAAGTTATATGATTCACCAAAGTCATCTGGGCTATGAGCTGAACCTGAAGCAGTATGCTCAGGATCTTCCCCTCAGCCACACCACCTTCTCACAGACATCCTAGCTCCAGCCACACGGGCCACCTGCATCTTTGGAGTGCCTTCCTCATATTACAAGCCTAGCCTTCTCCTGGACTGGCCACAGTTAGTAAGCCAGTTGCCTGATGAGTGTTTACAGGGAACCCACAGAGATGCTCTACCTGGCATGCCACAGGTGTCCTCTGTACTCCAAGCCCTCAAGTCTTCTCTGTGAGCCCTTCGAAAGCACTGGTTCTACCAGAAGCATATCTCACCCCTTATGCCATACCAGGATGCTGCTGGAAAATGCAGGCCTAACCCTCAGCAACCTTCTGCTGTAGAGCAGAGTTAGGGCAGAACTCAAGGGCCACCTGTGTGCCTCCGCTGAAATGTTGAGGTAGTGAGACAATGTGCCTAAAAAAGATTTCTCAGTAACAAGTTCTGGCAAAATAGAAAAGGAAAGAAGAGAAGGAATAACTGTGGTAAGGCCATCTGGGCACAGGGCTTGGGAGATGGGGTTAGCTAAGTGGCGCCTTCAGGGCCAAGGTGTCAAAGATTCAAACGAAGGCCTAAAAGCAGGAGAGCCTTTGAAGAGGTGAGGAAGCTTCTACATAGAAAGAAGGAGGATCCACGCAGTGGCAGTAGAGATGGAAGAGTTCAGGTGAGAACCTGGGCCCATATTTTAAGCTGTGATGGCTTGGCACTGATGACCAGAGAGTGATCAGGATGTCTCTGAAGTCAGAGCCCACCAAGGGTAGAAAAGAAAGCTTCCAATCCACACTCCATATTTCATTCCTGAGTGACCTGTTTACCAGGTTCATAATGACCAGTGATGCCCCACATCATATTCCTACCAGTAAGGCCTCTAAGACACGCCTCCTATCCTTATCTGTCACCAGATCACAGGGGTCTCCATAAGTACCTCAGACCTGCCAGTTCATTCTTCTGCTCTCTGGCAAGTCACAGTGTTGGGACACTGATGCCCTCACTCTCTGGAGATACCTATGTATGTGCCCCAGTGGGTAAACAGGTGCACAATGTAATCTTTTCCTAAGTATGTCATGATATTGGGAAGGTTGGGGACTACTGGTCTACCTGAGGACAAAAGATGAAACACAAAGACACCAATGGTGAAAGTAGATACCAAACTCCTAGCTCAAATTGCCCACTGAAACCTGAATGCCACTGTCTTCTAGTGGCAACAGTACTTACATGAGATTCAACCTGGATGGGTGCTATACTAGGCACAGGAACAAAAGCTTCATAGAAAGTCTGGAGCATTCTGTCTCCTCTATATTCATTTAGCGATATAAAGAAAAAGCCAGGCCAAACTACTGGACTGAAAAAGGGAAAGGATATTTAATCTTTATGAGAAGTTTAGTAGAGCCAACAGTTGGTCAGCTCTTCAAAGGGATAGAGTTTGGATGATGAGCCAAGTTCTTGACTTTTTTCCTCCCAGAAGATGAAAAGAAATGAAGTTTCACAAGAATGCAAACAACACTCTCTAAAAGTGCATCTCGTGAGGATGAGCATTAGTGTGGAGGTAGACCAGTCATAAGGAAGGTGACAGTTCAAAAGAGACATAAGGTTGAGTGAGAGCAGTGCAGGGGAACGTGGGCTCCCAAGGAAGGTTTACAAAGACAGGCAGAGCCCACAATTCTGAAGCATGCATCTGTATTTCAAGAAACATTGTAGGGGAATTCATTTGGCAAGAGATAACTCTGATTCCATGCCACCACCCTAAAACAGAATTGCTTCAGAATATTCTGAAAGACTGAGTGTTGAAAGGAATGGAGGCTGCAGAAAAAGCTTAAGCACATTGTTACAACAATTTTAAAAAGCAAGTTATCTAAGCCATGCGAGCACTTGGATGTGCAGCTGAAAGGAAAAGAACAAAAATCAAAGAGGAGTTTTAAATGTGCAGCATCAGTTCTCCTGTGGGGTGTCTGGGTTCTCTAGGTGGGACTTTTATTTCCTTTTGTCATTTCTTTCTGGGCCATTGTCCCCAGCTTTGAGCTGGTGCTGGCCATTCCAGATATGGGTGGCTCCCTTCAGTGACAAAAGCCCATATTCTGCTTTTTGCTTTATCCGAGGAGCACAGCTGGCCAACATACTGTTTTCTCTGTCCTCCAAGAACCATGGCTCATCACCTTCTCAGGGGGAGATGCCTTGTAACCATGTTGGCCCAGGTTCTGGAGTCAGCTCCTAGAACTGAGCCAGACTAGCCTCAAAAGCCACAAAGACACTTTAAGAGTATCGCTGGTTATAAGACACACCAGATTGTTATCATGTGCTCAAGAGGTGGCTAAATGCTGGTGGAATGTCTCTGGGTGAGAAGATCCTGCACCTTTAAAACTTGGAAACAAAACAGTCCAAAAGTAACCATCTTGACTTCTAAGTGCATGTGTATTTAAACAAAAATGGAAAACAGTATATAAATATATATAATATACGTGTTATATATTATATATTTTAAAAGTTTAGTCAGTTAATTTATGATAAATAGCAAAAGGAAATAAGCATGCTCATTAGTTCTGTCTCTAAATTTTCCTTAAAGGGACACTTTTGGCAATTATGTTGGCAAAGTTGCATTTTGAAAATACTGCTCCTGAAAACTATCTATTTTTCAAGTGAATATTTCAACAAAATGTTAAAGGATAGCTGGAAACTAGTTTGGAATATTTCTTTGTGGACAAAAGTACAGGCTTTTCATTTTGCAATAGCAATCTTGTTCTCTACCATAAATTCCTTCGTTAATAAGAAAACCCTTGCTCCAGCCATGTGAGGCTCAGATTCCTCCCTTCTGAAATCTCCTCTGGGTCCCAATGGTCTTCATATTGCCCCCAAATAATTACATTGAATGATCAAAGGGATCTAACATTCTGATTCATAAAGCATCTTGCAAATACTCTCAGGGGTTTCTGGAGATGCCATCGCTAAAACCAATGACTTGGCCAAAGCTACCAAGGAAATAAATGACACTGACCACCAGCTGGAGGGACAACTTGGTCAAGTAGTTTCATGCTGGTTTTCTTCCAGATTTTCTTTATCACCGCTCGAAGTTCTTCATTAGCTTGTTCCAGGTTCCCTGAATCCAAAAAGCAAAAGGGGAAACAGTGTTGTTTCTGTTTCCCTCTCCCTCTCCTTGTTCTCACCATGATGTCTTGGCCCTGCCTGGCCTAGACTAATGCCCTACTCTCTGATGGGGCTCTCCATGCTCAGTGCCAAAGTTCTTCCTGTATTCAGGGTCAGTCACAAAGCTTGCCCAATACAAAGTCCCTGAACAATGGGAACACCAGTGTTTTACCCTAGAATTCAAGACCTATAAACTCTGATCCTGTCCTACCCTCTACAGTCAGGACCTATTCCTTCCTACTGCTCCTAGCCCAGAAGGTCTCTTCCTCCTCCACTGGCTGTTCTGGCCCTATCTCTACTTTGAATATTACACCTAAATTCCACCCAAATATGACTTTTCTCAGTTTCTATTACATGTTCTCATCTGTGTCACATGACTGATGTTTTGTTCATGAATACCTCAATATGTAAGAATACTCTTACATACTGGAACCCTTAAGTGAACAGGCCTGTGGCCAGGTTCCAGATGAGAAACATGTTAGGCTTGAAGAGAATGGCTTTGCTAAATAGCCAACAAGCTATTGAGCAAGTTGTGAAAATCCCCTGTCCCCTGACTCAATGTCCCTTGCTGCCTCCTCTCTCCTGTCCACCTCCTCCTTGCAACCTCCTTTCCAATCTACCTCTGACATGGTTAACCCCAGGGTCTACATTCCAATACCTGTTTTGACAGGTCTGAGCAGGGCTGAACGTGGCATGAGGGTCAAGGGTCCTGCTGGGAAGATATGATTCTTTTACAGCTTCCCAAGTACTGATTGCATTCTTCAGACATTACCCCATGCTTCTTCAGAAATCTCCCTAGAATCCTTTTATTTAGTCACTTTTCACAGGGAAAGAAACTATTGCTAAGAAGGGTAAACTCCCTCACACCGAAGATCAGACTAGGAAGAGACATCTGGTGTAAGTCTATTTGTGATGGCTCTGTCTCTGCCCCAATACCTTCCCTATATTCCCAACTATGTAATAAGCAGTAGGATAAATCCATTCAGTGCATCCTGGGACCAAGTGAAGAAAAAATAAGGACAGGAGGGAGGAAGGGGTGACCAGGGGCCTGGTACTCAGATGAAAATCTGTATCTTGCACTCAACGTCTTTCCCAAGGGTCTCCCCTTCACTGAGGCAAAGTCCAGATAGAGGCAGTGTTTCCCTCTCCCTCTGCCACCTGTCCTGCTCCTAGGGAATGCTCACCTTCAGTCTTGATCTTGAGAGCTGTTCGGACCAAAGCAAATAAGGTTGCATTAAACATGACAGTCCCATCACTATTGAGAGGCATGTTCATGGCAACCAATCTCTGCAAGCGGAAAGAAAAGTTCTTTAGGAGAATGAAAATGCTTGATAACAGCCACATTCCTCTCTACTTTATTCTGGTAATCCCTCATGCCTTTTCTAGTCAACCTTCCATTGAAATTACAGCCCTCCGAGAACACCTTTGGAAGGAAGATATACCTCACATAGGGTTTTAGAGAGCATGGTTCCATAGAGAAACGACAAAAGCAGAATGCAAGATCTAGATCCATCTTGGATGAAGCCTCAGCCTGATGTCTCAGGCAAAGAGCCCTAAGAGTAGCCATGACATAGCACATGTCACCATGTACCCCATTACCCAAGCAAGGATATGGGTGCTCCTTCTCCTCACTCAGCCATATGGTGTTTCTGTTCTACTTCCTCAATAGATCTTCAAGCGGCCTGCTCCTCTCTCTTCTCACTCCCACAGTCCTCCTTCAGGATCTCCTGGTTGGTACCCTCCTCAAGTCTCCTACTCCACATAAATGGAGTCAGCTCCCTCAGATGGAAAGCTGAAATCCACATTTCCCTGACTTTCCACAGGATTTAGTGTGGCACAGAATGCTCTTCACAACTAGACTCAGTTTGTGCCTGGGCCCCTTTGCCACTTCTTGTATTCTAGCTAAATGGTGATCTGATGATTTACTAATGGCTAGTTATTAGGTCCATTCTCCTGCCTCTGTCTCGGTTCTGAGTGCCCACATTTTAAAGCACTTTCTGCCTCTGACAAATTCACACATCTCCTGCTTTTGTTTGTATTTTGTAGTGCTGGAGACCAAGTCTAGGACCTTGTGCATACCAGGTATGAACCTATCACTGAGCTGTATCCCCAGCCCCTGACACTTCCCCTGGACTCCATTCCACCAACCGTCCAATGACTAATGACAGAATTATCTTTCTCCTCTTATTACTGCGTTCAGGTTCCATAACAGTTGAGGGAACCTCAAAGGCAGAAGCCACATATCACTCATCTCTGAATTCTCAGCATCTCACAGAAAGCCCAGTTAAGTGCTATTCAGTGAGTGTCTGTTGCACTGAACAGTGAGCTCCTGCACTGAGGTTACCATACAAACCTTGCATGCTACTCTGTGTGGGCACAATTTCCCAAATCCCAGAGGAGGCTGGATACGTCGGAGCAAAGTGACCACGTCGAGGTGTTTTATTCTTCCCCTGAAAGCAAAATACAACATGAAGTTAAGGGGAGCTTTCTATTCACCCCTCCTTCCATAAAACTCACAGCTGACATTCCAAAACAGCCCACATGAAAAGCCATCTGGATTCATTTTCCACCTACTTTGCCTCAGGATCATATTCTGACCATATTCGTTTGAATTCGTCTAAATGGTGAGGCCCCAAAATAGACCAATCCCGGGTCAGATAATCAAAATTGTCCATGATGACAGCCACAAACAGATTGATGATCTGAAAAAGGCAATCAGAAGGAAGGAGTTTTAGCTATAGGAGGAGGATAGACTTCTTAGACTTGACTCTCTAGCATGCGCTTTTTGAACATGTCTTTTTAAAATTTTATATATATATATATATATAGAAAATACTGTACAGAGGGGTTACAATTACATGGGCAAGATAATGAGTACATTTCTTATCAAGCATTGTAGCCTCCTCCTTTGTTTCCCCTTCCCATCCCTTCCCGTCCTCCCCCCTCCCCGCCACCCAATCCTCCCCGCCCCCCCGCCACCAAAGTTGTAAAGTTCGTTTTCGACATAACGACTTATACATCTCATTGTTGCAATGGATCCACCTGAGTACATTTCTTATCAAGCATTGTAGCCTCCTCCTTTGTTTCCCCTTCCTATCCCTTCCCATCTTCCCCCTTGAACATGTCTTTCAGTCCCCAAAAAGATCATAAATATTCTGCTTTTGAGAATGCTTAAGAAAAGGTCAGGCTTCTAACTTTCCAAAATGGCTTGGTATACTCTCAAGAGGGGGCTGGTGGATACATTAGCTGGTGCTTCTCAAGCACACTACAATCTTATAATTTATGGCTGCCAGCTAAATTTTAGAAGCCCTAAGCAGCTGGGATGACTGGCAATGCGCTTAACCTATTAGTGAGCACTCAATCCCTACTCACAGCCAAAGTGATAGTTATGTGTGTTTAAATACCCTCACAAACTTCCCAGTGGGACCAGAGGGCCAACCATTTCATAGCAAATTGAAAGGGCGCATCACTGATCTGATTCCTAAATACTTCACAAGCCCTGTAAACAGAGGACAGGAGCTGCTGTCACTGCTTACCAGAAATGCACAGAGCATGTAAAAGCTGATGAAATAAACAATGGCAAAGTTGCTCCCACATGTGTATTCCTCTCCAGGGTTGTAATCTGACTCAGGATCACAGAGCTTTCCTGGGAGGCAGGCTAGCATGATCTCCTGCCAGGCCTCACCTGTTGCACACCTTTTAAGATGAACAAAGGAAATGATTTTAGTGAGAGAAAGGGGGACTGAAGATTACAAACTTTGGGTAGGAAAGGAATATATTCATAACTACTTTGGTGGCACAAAGGTTTGAACTCAGGGCCTCAAGTTTGCTAGGCAGGCATATTACTACGTGAGCCATGTCCCCAGTGGAGGAAATACTTTTTAAAATACATTTTTATTGTAAAAATACCCTATAGAGGGGTTACAGTTACATGAGCAAGGTAATGAGTACACTTCCTATCAAGCATTGTTGCCTCCTCTTTTGTTTTTCCCCTACCATTCCACACCCCCCGCAGACCTAAGTTGCAAAGTTAATTTTTCAGCATGGTGTCTTATACATCTCATGGAAATTCTTAATTAGAGCCAAATCTAAGTAAGTACTTTGAAAGAAGCTGAATTGAATTAGGGAAAATCTGAAATGCCTACTCATTTTTCAACACAACTTAGCTCAGTAACTAGAGGTTCTACTATGACACTCCCTGGTTTTAAGAATCATTTGATGCAGGCATGCCAATTCTTTTGCACAAATGGGTGTTTTTCTATCTTCTTTACTTCAAACATACATATTATAATTGTTTAATGATTATCCTTGATTAAATTTGTTGAAAGCAAAGAGTTGGAGACCACTTCACTTGTGGCCACTGGAGTCATGAGAAATTACTTCCATAGTTTCAAAAAGTTTTTTCCTGTGAGGCAGATTTTTTACCAAGTTAATTATCTAGGGTTAGAAATAATCCTATAGAAATTGAAACTGTACTTCTTGGGTTATCCCCTATTGGCTGCACAAAAGGTCTCCATATTTCTGCTAAATTTCTGTTCTTCGGATTGTATTTTGGTGCCCTTTTTCACATATAAGTATTTATCCAATTTTCTTGGTGGTCTATGTAGCTTTACTAACTCCCAAATAAATAAACCTTAAGCCAGTCACAATCTAAACATCTCTGTTGCTGAAATGCTAGGAGTCTGTTTAAGAATACAAAGCAAACAAAAACAACAAGCTAAGGAGAAGCACACTACTTTGGTAATAAACATCCTCTGTCTTCAGAGCTGGAGACAAACTGGACTACCTGCCCAAGGGCACAAATTCAGTCACCTGAAGAGCAGCAACACTGCCTGGGGAAACGTCTGGAAGTTGTTGTTCCTATTGATCTGGTTGTTATCTCTCATGGCAACTTTTCCAAACATCTAGGTAGAAAAGTTATTAGGAAAAAAATAAGAAGAGATTTCATTATTGCCATAGTTTGTATCTCAAAGGCTCATGTGTTAAAGGCTTGATTCTTAGGGTGATATTGTTGAGGTGAAAACTTTAAGAGAAAGAGACTAATGAGAGGTCCCTGGCTTACTGGGGGGTAAGAAGGGGAGAGGGATTTATGCCCTCAAAGGGGATTTTGGAATTCTGGTCCTTTCTCCTGGTCATAAGCAATTGTGTTACACCATAAGCTTCTGCCATGATGGGCTGCCTTGCTACAAGCTCCAAACAATGTGACCAATTGATGACAGAGTAGAAAGGTTAGACACTCCAAAATTGTGAGCTAAAATAAACTTTTTTCTTTATAATTGTCTCTAGTATTTCACTATGGTAATGGCAAGTTATCTAACAAATATATTTTTTAAAAGCAGAATTCTTGTGTGAATTTAGAACAAATTCTGATTGGATCTACAGCAAATGGGGATTTTTCAGGATACCTGGCACCTCATTCATTCAACAAAGATCTTCTGGGCATAGCCAGTTGCCAGGAGTGTGTTAAACACCTGAAAAATGGTGCTCCAGACAGGCACATTCTTATATTCAAGGAGTTCCCTGCTCTGAGGAGAAACTACAAAGGTAATAACAAAGTGGCAATCTTGAACAATGAGTGGTGAAGTGGTTTAGATCCAACAGGGAAGCGGGGCGCAGGTTCATCTACCCAAAGCTAAGAGGTTGAGGGTCAGGAAAAAGTGACAGGGAAATAGACATGGAAGCCTAGAACTGAAGGTTAAGTAGAAGTCAGTCAGGTGACAAGGTGAAGAGTGCAAAGTGTAATCTGGGGTAGAGGGAAGAAGCAGAGCTGACAAGAGTACATACGTCCTGGAGAACGAAACCATGAGTGATGAACAGACTGAAGAGCAATGGGGCTGGAGACAAAGGTAGAGCTCATGAACCTCATGAGAGACTGGGCTTTATCTGAGGCAATGGAAAGTGAGCAAAGAGCCTTATGCCTGACTAGTGACTGCTGGGAGAATGTGGGGTGGGGGAGGGCATACAATGCGGTTTGCAGCTCCCTGAGAAGACCCTTTGGGACACACAACATCACAGGCTGCTCAATTACAAGGGCTCAAGTATGATGAGTCCTGTTTTATAATTCCTAGAGCCCTGCAAGTGCTTCTATGCCCTCAGGATAAAAAACCACCACCACGTCTCTGCTTCTAGAATCATTTCACCTTTCTTATCCTTCCCTAATTAGAAAGACAAGTGGAGAATTTGTAAGGAGATATAGAGGTCCAGAGACATATGCTACCTTCTATTTCCCTCTACTCACAGAAGCTCTCTGCCTTCAACTCAGCTGCCCACATGGTATTAGGACCCAGCTGTTAATGAGGTAAAATCCCTTCTACAGCCCCCAAACGACTGGGGGAGCATGCTGCAGCCTTGCTTGTAGAGCAAGGTCACAGAAGAGCCTGGTTCCATTCCTCTTTGGAAAGGTGAGCCACTGAAGGTACCACACTGACAAATGGGGTTTCCTCTAGTGTGGCATTTCCTCTTCTGTTGGCTCTCCTATGACATAGCACAACTAAAATCAGCTGTGGGTTTTCTCCAGCAGTTAATTCTCCCAAGACACAGGTGAGGCAGAAGTGTGATGACACAGATTTTCTTGCAGTATCTTAACCTCTCTTCTGGCCCTGGTCTTTTCTTGCCACAGGCTCTATTCCTGGGAATTCTATCTTTCTGCCCTAAAGGGCCACAAACTATCTCACTGCCATCTCTTCAGCTAGCAAGGCATCTGGCTAAAAAAAAAAAAATCAAAACCTTCTTTGTATTTTACCTGGCTAAGGTACATCCTGACACAGATCTAGAGCTATCTAGCAAAAGGGGCCATGAGGGAAAGGGAGCTGACACTCACCTGCATGCCGATGACTGCATATATGAAGAAGAGCATGGCAATGAGGAGGGCGACATAAGGGAGTGCCTGCAAGAGAAGAAGCACTGGAGTTGGCACTGGACACCTGCCCTGGTAGCTGTTCAGCACAGCAGGAAAGGCCCACGTGGGCCTCACGCTTCTTTTCTTTCCCACATGTTATGGTGAAGGGACACAGAGGGTGAGGAAGAAAGAACTTCTTTAATCTCTTCAGTCCGACCCCCTGCATGACTAGTCTTCTCCTGTTGCTGGCGCGATGTGCTCTCCGTGGTCATTAACCCTTTGTGAGCTCTAAACATCTTCCCCACAGACACTCACAATGAATTTTGAGTTTATGATGTGAATTCTTTGTGAAATTGTAATTGGTAAAACCATTCTAAAACGCTGGACATTTGCGATGCTTTCACTTGCTCTTGTAGGCATGTGAGTGAATTATAGGCCATATTGCAAAAAAAAATACCATTATATAAAATAATCTTGCCTCTGCTAGAATGTTTCCTTCTGGTGAAGTCTTATGAATGGAATTACTGAGTCAGACTTGTTGCTGTAGGATGTAAAACATCTTCCTTAAAATAAATACCTGAAAGAACTATAAAGTTAAGGGCCAGGCCAGAGAAGAAAAGGAGCTATCTGGGTATCCACTAGGTCTGAGCTTCCTTTAGGAGTATCTATACAAATATGTGTGTGTGACCAGACCCCAATCCTTTTATCCAGTATTCCTCCATTGCTTTTCTCCCTTGTAACATGTGATAAACAAGTCCATGTGTATAACACACCTCTAGTGCTGTTGGCTTCATTCCAAGCACTCACACTTAATGCTTTTCTTTCTCTTCTATCCAAGGAAGCTCATCAGAAGCAGTGGCTAGCAGACTTATAGGCCACTCTGCTGTGGATCTGTGATTACCAGCATGGCCTAGGACCACAGCTCCATCCCCTTAGCTGAGATGCTTAACAGAGTCCCACAAGGTTAAAATCTCTACCACACTTCTCTGTGTTTTCTTCTTAGATTACCAACTATTAAAATTTTTTTCTTGGCACAATCATACAATATACTTCCATCATTATAGGCCTGAATGAGAACAGAATAGTTAAACCCTATAAAGATTGTAAAAAGGGGAGATGAGATTAGATGGATAGTAAAAAGTAATAGAGAGGACGAATAGAACCAAAATACATTTTTTTTGGTCAGTCATGGGGCCTGAACTCTGGGCCTGGGCGCTGTCCCTCAGTTCTTCAGCTCAAGGCTTGCGCTCTACCACTTGAGTCACAGCACCACTTCCGGCTTTTTCTGCTTATGTGGTGCTGAGGAATCGAACCCAGGGCCTCATGCATGCAAGGCAAGCGCTCTACCATTGAGCTGCCTTCCCAGCCCAGAACCAAAATACATTATGTGCATATATGGAAATATCACAATGAAACTACCTTGTGCAATTAATATAGGCCAGTTAAAAAATACTAAAAGATTTCATTGACACAGTTTCTCAGTGTGAACTCTGTGTTATAACTTCCATATTTACCAAATATTTTAAAAAGTTTATCTATGTGAGATGGCTCATGCCTGTAATCCAGCTACTTGGGAAGTGGAGATTAGGAAGACTACTCTGAGTCCAGAACAGGGGAAAAAGTTCTCAAGTCTCTCAAAGTGCTTAAACAAGCCAGATATCATGGTTTATGCCTGTAATACCACCTATACAAGATGCATAAGTAGGAGGAATTTTGTCTGAGGGAATATTTCGATCCAAGGCTGGCATGTATAAGGCACAGACTATCTTAAAAAAATAAAGGCTGGAGGTGAAGCTCAAGTGGTAGAGCACTTGACTAACAACCATATAGCCCTGAATTCAAACTAGCACTGCCAAAAAAAAGTTCAATACTTCCTTAAAAAGAATAAGTGACACAACTTGGGGGAAGGCTTGGAAGGGAGGGAAAGTGGGAAAAAATGAGGGAGGGGGTAACAAGTTTGACAAGAAATATACTCACTACTTCACATAGGAACTGTAACCCCCTCTGTACATCACCTCAACAACAAAATTAAATTTAAAAAGAATAAGTGATATTATTGAAAGATTCTATTCTTACAGCAGCTCATTACAAGCTTTGGCACTTCTCATGAATAATTACAGTGATGAGGGATTTCATGGCTCATCCTCATCCTTAGCAGGACTGGGATTTCCCTTCTCCTCCCCTTTGCCTGTTCAAATCCTACTCATTTTGAATAAAAGCTTACTGGGATGTTAATACCCAGAGATGGTGAAAGGTAAGCTTGAAGTTTACCTTTAGGTAACTTCATTTATTCACATAAACGTTTATGTTTCAATGAAACATAGACAAGTAATAAAGAAGGTAAATGACTCATTTCCTAATGCTTGTGTGTGTAAGCTACAAACCTCCACATGAATGAACCATTTTTGGTGCCAGTCCTGGGCTTGAACTTTGGGCCTGGGTGCTATCCCTGAGCTTTTTTTGCTCAAGGCTAGCACAATACCACTTGAGTCACAGCTCCACTTCTAGCTTTTTGGTGGTTAAATGGAGATAAGAGTCTCACAGACTTTCCTGCCCAGGCTGGCTTTGAACTATGATCCTCAGATCCCATCCTTCTGAGTAGCCAGGCTTGCAGGCATGAGCCACTGATGCCCAGTAGGTGCACTTTTAACAAGAATTTTATTCCTTATTCTCAACAGATTTGGTCCCTAAAACACGAATATTTGGGGCACAGTATTAGAAGTTCAGAAGCACTTGGTTATGCTCAAGAATAAACTAGAACTAGGCTGCAGCCTGAGGAATGACAGTTGACAGATGAATCCTGGCTTATATCAAAATGTACTGAACTCTGATCCTGCCAGGAACTGAGTAATCCATAGACTGGTGATGGTGCTATGGCCCAGGTAGCATAAACTAGTGTATAAACTAGACTAGCTGTCAGAACTGTTGCAGCTGAAGAAAAAGGAGCCACCCTCAAGAAATTACATTGGTTTCTAGGGACATTCCCTCTCTTACACACAACCATCCCTGCATCCTGGGGCAATAAGGCAGAGACTCACATCTCTTTTCAATCTGGGAAAGATGAGATCTCTGGGCGATAGGGCCTTCTTACTGTCTTCCTAACATTCCATATCCTCTACGGACTTAAGTCCACACAGTGGTCTTGTCCTGGCTGTTCCATGAAAGAGGACAACTGATTTACACACAATCTTCAAAGACAAACAGAATCTTACCCACAGCTCTTACCTGAAAGGACTTAATGAATGTCCACAGCAAAGTCCGGATACCTTCCCCCCTGCTGAGAAGCTTCACCAATCGCATCACTCGGAAAAGACGGAAAAAGGTGATGGAGATTCTATTGCTCTCTTCAGAGTTCTGAAGGGTTATCATGGAGAAGTCAAACCCAATGGAAAGTAGAACATGCAACACTTTCAGAAAAACAGCAACAGATGCAAAGGTGACAGAGGTAAGAACTGAAGATGTGTTTCTAGGGCCTTTTCACCTTAAAAAGCATGATATGAAAGGAAAAGTTACATGCTAACAACACAGGATTTGGAAAACTATGTCCACACAACACATGCATGTCCACGTGTTCTACTGTGTTAGAGGAGAACGCTGGGCTGGCCAAGAGTACTGGACATTGATGATGAATGCAAACCACTGCAGACACTGTTCTGGAAGGACAACCATGGAGAATACAGAAAAAACCAGTGGAAAACTTGACATGGTCAAATAAACTCAAGGAAAAAACCCAGCCCCTGGAGACTAGTCACTGATCTTACCCCAGGTGTAGCAGTTGGGACAGGGACATTTTCACTTTCAGTTGGCTTTAAGAAATCAAAGATTAAAAATGTATTAATGAGGTAGGAAGGAAGCAGTGGTTCAGGAGAATACCTCCCCACCCCCTTAAAAAGTGTGTGATTAATGAATGTCTTTGGATAAGACACCTGTTCTGTCTCTGAGAGACTCCAGGAGCTCTGGCTGCAGCTAGGTTTAAGGGGAGGTAGCCATTGACATGGGTACAGACACAGCACTCCTTTCTTGTTCACATCTAGGGATGGATGTAATGTCTGATCACCTCTATTTCTCTGAGCTCAGCTGATAGCTCTACAGCAGGCCTTTTAACCCAGAGCAAATGCACCACTCCCTCCAATTGTAAGGCTAACAGCTTCCCTACTTGTGGTCCCCAGACCAGAAAAATCTCAGAGTCTGCAGGACTTTGGAAGAAACAGCATGGGCCAGCTTGCCTGGAGCCTCAGCAGCTCTACCCATCCAGGTATAGCAGAGCATATATTGTTTAAGCCCCAGGATTCAGACTCTTCTGATTGGTACCCATCTGCCTCAGAGGTTGAGGAACATTGCCCCATTCCACTCTGTGCCCAGTATCTACTAGGTATTGTGGGGTTTTCTTAATGTAAAGATAGCTGGATGTCAGTGGCTCATGCCTATAATCCTAGCTACTCAGGAGGCTGATCTGAGGATTGCAGTTTGAAGCCATCTGAGGCAAGAAAGTCCGTGAGACTCTTATCTTCTTACCTTTAATTAATCACCAAAAAAAAAAAGGCTCAAAGTTGAGCTGTGGCTTAGGTGGTAGAACACTGACCTTGAGCACAAAAGCCCAGGGACAGTGCCTAGACCATGAGTTTAAGCCGTAGAACCAGCACACAAAAAAAGGCAAAAATATTGGAGTCACACTCTTGCCAACAACAGGAAGCATCAAAACTAAATAGTAATGGGAAGCTGAACCAGAATCGAGATTGGTGCCCTGCAGTGGTAACCCACTGGAGCAGCTGGTCTACCTGGACACTGACAGGGAAGTAAGAGGCCCACCTGGTGGAAGGCTTTCAAAAGGACTTTAAGCATAACATAACTGTCAAACTACAGAGAGGGTGTGCACACTGCTAGGATGGACTGCTCCTCTGGGGACACAGAGGGCTCAACTCTGAAGCTGCCTCTTAAGATCAAACAGAAAATACTAGAAAATATGAGGTTGTGTACATCAGAGATCAAGTATGATCTGGCAAGGTGACTGTGAGCCCCAAAATAGGTCCCGAGGGTCAGAAAGGGCTCCCTGCTCCACCTGATGCTTAGAATGAGAACTCTCTAGAATGGGCTTGTCAAGTCCAGGGCTGCTGTTTTTGTTCTTCTCTTGTATGATATCCTCTCAAAGACACTTTCTTAAAGGGTAGAAAGAGATCATGTTTTTTAATGTAAATGTTAAGAAACGAAGTTCTCACTGTCTGTACATCATTCTCTCTCCCTAAGGTTCACTCAGAGGAAGATTTCACTCTTTCCCTGTGTGAGTAAATGTGTGTGAGTGTACCAGCATGCATGCTTCTCCTTGCCTATGTTCAGGGAACGGGAACATGCAGAAGGCAAAGCCCTCTACTGTCACGTGATTGAAACACCCCTAATGCGTGTGGGAGCCACAGAGTATCAGAGGCCTGCTGGTTAAGGTGCTCTTTCTGGCCACTGACTCCTGCTTGCTCTCCCTAGGCTGCCTCACGTCAGACCACTCATGTCTCCCTTCTTTCAGGTAAACGCAAATGGGTAAAAATGTTCATCTCTGTCACCGGTATTGATGAAGCAGGCTCAATAATGAACTATAAAAATTCAAACTCTCATAAAACAGAGAGGAGGAGGGGGACAGCATTTGTGGAGGGACAAAGGCGGTACAACATGCAAGAGAAGACGGAAAAAATCAACAGCACACCAGGCATCATGCAACCCCAGGGTGGCCTGTGACACTGCCCCCACCCACCACACACCAGTTGGCAGGGAGGACTGCTGCAAGGGATGATGTGGCTGGTGGCACTAGGGGACAGTGTAAGTTGCCAAAAGATCTGCCAGACTAGGAGGAGCCTGAGGATGGCTTTGGTGAAACTACAAATGGCAGTCTGAGAAAAAAGACAGCCAGCTTTCATTCTAGGCTGCACACTGAAGCTGCCCTAGGATGTGTAACAAGATCTGATGGACAGCTCCCACCTCAGAGAATCTTTGTCAACTGTTCTAGAGTATGCCTGTACTTCTGGTGTTTAAAAGCTCCAAGGCGATTTTCCTAGGCTCTCACAGCTAAGAATGTCAGTCTTAAGCCCATGATAAGTTGAGCTAAATATTCAGCTGACTGTCCACATCAATCACATAGTAGGGTCACTAGAAAAGCCCATTTAGGCTGGGTGCCAGTAGCTCACACCTGTAATCTCAGGAAGCTGAGAAATGAAGGATCTTGATTCAAGATCATCTGGGACAAAACAAACAAACAAAATCCCCGAGATTCCATCTACAATTAACCAGCAAAAAGCTGGGCGAGAGGAATCAACATGGTTCAAGTTGTACGGCCCCAACTGTAAGCAAGCAAGCTGGAGGAGCAGGAGGTCCTGAGTTTAAAACTTTTTACCAACAACAAAAAAAAAAAAAGGAAAGAAAAGGAAAAAAAAAAGCCCACTCAGCTGTTTCAAGTGAGCAGTGACTTCTTTGGAAATTTAAAAAGCTTCCAGGTGATTCTCCTGTGATCTCAGAGCTGAGAATGTTGGTCCTAAGCAGTACTTGGATATAAAGAGGTGAGGCTCCATTCCCATTTCCCCTTGGGGATGAAGACAGCTGGTGGAGAACCAAGCGAGCCACTGATGCTAAAGGTCATCCCTAGAGGACATGAGGCTGGGGAAGGACTTGCTCCTCAGAGAGTTTTCCGAGAATGGCTTTGAGGGGGTAGGTGGCCAGTTTTCAAAAGGAGGAATTCTATTGTCAACTTGGGGTTTAGAACAGATACCTCAAGAGCTTCTTCCAGCCCTGAGAGGCCACATTCCCCAGCCTATTTCTGGGAAAGGACTGAATGTGGAGGCAGGGGCTAAACCACGGCCACACATTCAGACAAGAAGCTGGGTGAGGCTGTAGAGACCTGGTCTAAGCTGGGTAGCTGACAGTGCAATTCCTAGGTCCTGGGATAAGGAATAGCAAGGCAGCCATTTCTAAACAAGTATGTGGTCTTTTAGGCAATAATACTTATCTAAACGATCATTAATTAAATGTCAGTGACAACCATTCCTGAGTCAGAAAAATATGTGGCAGGGCCATTTTGCCACTCAAAGAACAAGTAGGCATCACAGAGGGAGCAAAAGTGAGCCCACTAGTTGCAATACAATATTGTAGCAGCTTGGTGATGCTCTGACCAAATGTGAAGTAGACAAGTCCACGAGAGCCATCGAACCATGGATAATCAGGGGGTTGGGGAAACATGTGGAGGGGACAGCAGGGTGGAGAGGACTGGGTGAACATGCAAGCAGGACAATGCAAAGGTCATCCAAAATGTTCTTGTACAGAATACAAATGCAGGCCTGATATCTCATTTTTAGGACAAATACTTCATCCTTGAAGCCTATGTTGGTAAGTCACAGAGTCAATGTGACTGACCAAGAAGGCCTGAGCTCAGGACCTGGCCAGAGACAACAATGTGTGGGGAAGGGAAACAATTTAGATGACCGGGACTGATCCTTAGCAAGTCCTGTGAAACACAGTGGAAAAAAATCAAAGGTGGGAAAGCCCAAACCAAGTATACAGTCTCTAGAAGTTCATTTGCTTTAATGACTTCACCGTATATATGTTTATATATACTTGCCGCTACAATTTTCTAAAAATAAAACCAACATGAAAATCAATTAGGCAACAGAAAAGAAAAGATCAACAGTCTGGGAAAGAGAGCGTAGCAGGTTAAACATTGCAAAAAAAAAAATGACATATGGCAACTAAATCCAGCCAACCAAGGACCATGGGCGTTTGTGCTCAGTGGACCCAGGAGCTCAGGGAACAAGATCACCAAAGATGTGACATGCACTGTTCCTCCCCTCCCCCCTCGGAGAACTCCACATGTGTTGAGGAAAGGGTCGGGAATCAATGTTCCCATTCTTAGGCATGTACACAATCAGAGGTTAAAAATATCGAGTCTTTTGGAGCTGAAAGTCTGCCCTGAGCCTCGCCCAGGGGTAGATGTCCAGCAAACAGCATGTTGAAAGAGGAAACAGATGAGAAGGGGGCCTGAACGTCCTCTGCACCGAGGGCTCCTCAGGTGGCCTAGGGCAGGGAACTGCCAGTGCTCATGGCTGAGGAGCATTTGGTCTCAGGGTACAGCTGAGCAGAGAAAGGTCACTAACTGAAAGCAGTGTATGGGCATGCTCACCAGTGTGATTCAGAAAGGCTAGCTGAATGCTAAGAATGAGGCCTCATGAAAGCCGGCCTTTTACAGACACCCCATATCAAATGCTAACTAGAAGCTCAAGTGGATCCCTGGTCCTTTCAGATGCTTGCTGAAGGAGGATACTATTGAGACACTGACAGGCAAGGGGCAGCCAGATCACAGAGGCACAGTAGAGAGAGGGAGCAGGGTCAGCCACTAGCATACATGAGGCAGCCAGGAAGCTGGGTGTTGACCTTGAGGACAGTGCACCACCCCATCAGCCAGCAGATGGGGCAGCATGGGTGTCTACTTGTGAACAAGCCTTGGCTACATTCTGGTACCCAAAAACGACACCCTTCCACCGAAGAGTACAGTTAAAGCCCCTTACAGCACTGAGAGCTCTAGGGAGACTTTCAGGGATGAGGGCTTATAGAACTTTCACTTCTATCACAGGCTCGCTCGGACCCTGTGACTCTCAGCCGTCTGTTCCAAAACTTTTTGTTAAGTATTCTCCAATGTATGTCATAGACATTTTAAACTGTGAAATTGTTAAGTAGGGTAGACGTGTCTGGCCATAAATTTGGTAGGGAGCACAAAGCAATCCAATTAAAGTCTTGCTGTTTTCTCATTAGTGCCAGATCATTCTAAACCCAAGTGCCAGTTAAATATCATGCATGGCAATTTCAAAACTGCCTAGTGGAATCTCATATAAAGTAGAATTTACACAAGTCTGGGGCTAAGGAAGTTGAAAATTCATATACCAGGCTTAGTAAAATACCATTTTAGTACTTGTCATAGTATGGACTTGGCATGATGAGGCTTAAATCATACCTTGGTGAAAATGATAATGTCTTACAATCTGTCACTCTTTACATGGAAAACCTGCACTTTTAATAGTACTATTACATCTCTCCATCACTGGACTTTTAGCAAATATTTCACATCATTTTATTCCCATTGCACACCTGCAAAGTAGGGAGAGAAAGTAATACTCACTTCATAAGACCCATAAGGAAAGTAAGACCTGGGTCAACAAGTCAGGTTTGAAGTAGGGCTGGAACTGGCAGATGTCCCACTGTTCACACTGAGAATCAGTTCCCTTCCCATCCAAGAGCATAAAGGGATTTCACTGTCCTCATCTGATACAGGCTGCCTGGGCACCAGGATGGACTTAACTATCAGGGCAGCCTTGTAGGTATTAGCTGGGCAGGGCATGTGGGTGGGGGCACAAGTAGACTGGCAACAGGAAGCAGAAGCCAACACTGCACCACAGTCCCTCCCATGCATCTCCACTCATCTCCTTGAGAAACACACATACACACTAGACATCCACCAAGACTTGCTGATGAACTGGTGCCAGGCCAGTGAACAGAGATCTTTCTGTCTGTCCCAGGCCTTTGGTCCAGGCAAAGGTCAGACAAAGAGAGACAGATGGGAGGTGATGCTCTCTTTCTCAAGCCTCTTAATTTTGAAAGGGATTCTCATCTCAATTTTGAGTTCTTAGGCGGCTCTTTCCCCCTTATCACAGGGCTGTGCACATGCTCCCTAATCAGCTTTACTAGCATGTAAAGGCAAAGGAATGGCGACTCTCCTTGTTACACATTAGGCCTGCCTCCCCTTGGCCCCACAGTCGTCATCCTTTGGGGAGCTTCAGCCTGAAATGTTCACCAATGCCACCAGCTGGGCCCAGAGCAGACTAAGGTACAAGAGGATACTAGCAGGCACAGCTGTGGGTTTCCCTCTGGTGCCTTCACAGATCATGTGGGCACAAGGATACTTATTATTAACTCCATTCTACTTCTTGGAAAACAAAGGCACAAAGCAGTTAGTTAGGTGTCCGGCCCACTGTCACAGAGCTAGCATGTAACATTACTCACACACTAATAAAACGAGGGGCCGGTTAGCCATTAAAATTTTAAGTGATCTTTTAAAACTTAAAATTGGTTTAGTTCCAAAGTGGTATTTCTGTTTACTTTCTTACTTCTTCAAGGAAATGGGGGAGGCTGGAGCTGGAGGAAGGGAGGGAAGAGTATCAATTGACCTTCATTTTTCAAAAAGACTGTGTGTCTAGGTTCCCAATGTATATGGAAAGTCATGGGTGGGAATTCTGGTCTCCTCTTTCAGAATCAATGAAAACAATGACATTATAGGACACAAAGTTTGCTACTTACATTCACTTCAGTTATAGCAATATCAACGACGCTACCAACAACAATTAAGGCATCAAAAGTGTTCCATGCATCAGTGAAATAGTGCTGTTAGGGCAAACATTCAGAAGCCACAGAGGAGAGGAAGCGCAATAGGAAAAAAGAAGAAAAGGACAGTGTTATCAAAGGGGAACATTCTAGCATTATGCCACCCGGCTACTTGAAAAAACGCACTAAGACAAACATGTCATACATACATCACTTTAGGATGGCTTCTGACATAGGAAATAAAAGCAATTACAGACACTCTATCTTGCCTTGTCTACTAGCGGCAGGGGTCAATCCTGCCCAAGAGTCAGCTCTGCAAAGGCAATTGGTGTCTTCAAAGCCTTGGGCTAAAACTCTACTCTACAAGATCTTTCCCACAGCTTCATCAGGAAATGCCTGTTTTCAGATCAAGTGTGATTGGGATCTGTGACTTGTCCAAGTGATGCCACCGCAGGGCAGAAAGCGGAATGTGCAGACAGAGGCGAAAGGACGCAGGCCAGGCCGGGTGCATACTCACGTCTGCTTCGCTGAGGGCCACGTCTATAATGCTGCCGATTACGATGAGGGAGTCAAACGTGTTCCAGGCGTCACTAAAATACCCCTGAACAGAGCGGGTGGGGCAGATGTTTATGAGCACGTATGAATGAAACATCACACGGATCATAGGGGGACACATCTGAATTCCTGCAGCACCCAAGGCAACCGGGGGGGCGGGCGGGGGGAAAGGCAAAAAGGAGGCAACAATACTGTCCACTGGTGGAAAGGGGCACAGAGGGGGTGGCTGGGCACTTGTGCGTGTAAGAAAGGGTGTGTGTGAGAGACAGTGCACACACACACACACACACACACACACACACACACAGCCTCTGAGCAGAGAAAGCAACCTTGCCCAGGCACCTAGCATGTCCATCCTAAACCATGACAAACTAACAGAATAGCCAGGCTCTTCTGGTCCTTCCAATAATTTCTGACCACTACTTGCCTCTCTTCTCTCTCGTAAAGAGCCACAGCAGTAGGCATATCACACCTTTTCATTTTCGTGCCACTTCAAACTAGCCAGCAGCCCTCCTGCATCCTCAATCGTCCAGTATTACAAAGGCTGCACCCTGTTACAGGATGACCAAATCAACTCTCAGTCTTCAAAGAGTTCTTTGTCTAAAGAACACAGACAGATTTGGCCTAAAAGTCACAGTTTATAGCAAGAGAGAGGCACAGAGACTGAAGGCATAGCTTTGTGGCAGAGAAATGCTTAGATATGAGGATGGAGCTTCAGCTCCACTGTAGCTGAAGCAGGTTCTACAGAGGATCTGAGTACTTATGATGGAGAGAAGACTCAAGAGCTCCCTCAGTCTTGAAGAAGCCCCAAGTTGCCAACCTACTCTTCTTTCCACCTTGACTGTGGCTCTTCTCTGACCTCTCCATTCTCTAGGCTAAGATGACTTTATCCCCATGAATACCATTAGGCTCCTCCACACCTCTTGTGCCTCTACAAGCCTAACCTCCCCAGCTCATATCTCTCTGCCCAGATTCACTTCCTCCTTCCAGGTCAGATAAATGCCAGCTCCTTTATGGAGCCCAGCCACTCCCTCCTGACTACCCACATTGCATCATCTTGACTATCTCTCTCTCTCATACCTTGATTTTATAAAGTCTACCTCCCCTTCCAAGGAGGACTGCACTGCTCATTCTGTCCTCATCTCCACCAACACTGACATCTGACCCAGAGTCCTAAACACAGTAGTGTTTGACATACAGAGGTCTTCATTCCACCAACTGGCACCCTACTGGTCACTCAGCTTCTACTGGTTCTTGATTTTCTAGTCTTGACATTTTACCAGTTCTAAGGTATAATAGTCCCACGGATTGAATTACAAATCCACACATATGTGCCATACATTGTATATCACACAGTAGATGCTAAACTAGTGGCACCTCTGGAAACAACCTGTCAGAGGTGGTGGGTTCATTCTGTACACAGAACCAGGAGCTTTCTGGTTGCCACAACTGGACTGTCTATAAATCAATCACATCTTCTTAACAAATGAGTATATGTCTTGGAAATAAAAATTCAAGTCTAATGTTATGTAAAGAAGGGTCCAGCATGTTTACAACTGGGTATTTTGAGTACAGTACTAAGTATTAAGAATGTACTTTGAAATATCAGGTTCCAGGAACTGTGATCAAATGCAGGCCCAGAGGAAACTGCTATATAGCCACAGTCTTTTGTGACACTATAGAATATGTGGACATGTTGAATGTCTTCATTGGAGCATTAGAAATTTTTTCAACATGTTCCCCACCTCCCCCAGGCCCCGGTGCCCCATTAATAGGAAAGTCATCACGTTCCAATCAGTTACTGTCTTAATTTCTTGTTAAACAAGGTAAGATTTCCCCACCCAGATTCTGTGACTTCTGACTTACTCTAAGCCTCTCACCCTGAAAATCATATTGCCTCTCCCATACTTGACCCTTGCTGATTGTCACTCTCTGAAACTCCTCTCTCATCAGTCCAAGCAGCCAACAAAATAAGTTATCTTGCACTAAGTCTGTCATCTGTGTTTAGAAGTCTAATGGGAAGGTCTACCTCAAAATATAACTTACACCTCTTAGTTTGTCTTCCCATGAATTCATGATCCTTGGCTGGCAAAACTGAAGGAAGAAGAGAGGCATCTTTAAGTCTAGACTTGAGATCCTCAAGAGGTCAGAGGTAGGGTAAAGATCTGGCACCAGGATATAAAGGAAGTCCTCTGACAAGTCAGCTGGGTCACATGGTTCCTTCAGCGTTGGCACTGATACCCAAGGCTGTGAGCATGGTGGATCCTCTGGAATCATTTCTACTTGTCACACATGATGGGTAGCAAGCAGTTCTTTGCACTGCTGGCAATGCTGTAGACTACACTAAGGGGAAGAGTCTTATTTAGAGCAACTCATAGAGGCTAAACAGCATGGCAATCTTCCCCCTCCTTCAGGGGGAAATTTATGCCTTAATCAAATGCTTGGTGTGGGTAGGCCCTAGACTGCTAGAGTACTCTCAGAGCATGGATACTGACTCCTGAGGCACACAATCAAGCTCTGCCCATGCCCGTACCACATGCTTGTTATCTCTCCTTTTGCTGGATAGATTTACCAGAAGCCAAATTCACTGTGCATTGCACTTCAGCCCCACTCACAATTCATCTACAACCTAAAATGATCAGGGTTCCCACTGTTGTGTTATTCCCATCAGCTCACTAGCAGATGGAGGCCAATTCTGATGCACTGTGGTAGATAAAATTCCTTCCCATTAACATGATACAAAGGTTTAATACTTCTCTGGGGTCCTAGAAATGTTCATGAATGTCAGTGACTCTTTCTCTAGAAAATCACTCAGTCACAAAATGGTGCCCAAATTCTCATATTTCATGGATCAAAGGCTGACACCCCTAATCTAGGCAACAGGAAACTTGACTTAGTGCAGGTGGCTAGAATCAAAGGGTCTGACCAGGTGGCTCTGACAGGAACTCAGGGGAGGCAGAAATGCCAGCCCTCCCATTCTTCCCACATACTGCTTCCCTGTTTAGCAGCCTCCTATTTAATAAAATCACTGCTGAGTGAGCATGACTCAGTTCCCCCACCCTTTATAGCCACCATGGCATCTGCTGAAGATGGGCCCATATCCATACTCTGTCCTCTCAGATGATAGCGACATGTCCTCCCCAAACTAAATTTTACAGCCAAGTCCCCTCAAGGAGAACCAGTTTCATCTACCTAAAGAAACCAAACAAGTCAGCCACATGCAATAACATTTATTATCCAAAAATATCTTGACTCTGGAAATTTTAAGTCATGAACCTGACCTTGCAGAATTAGAGCCAGGAAGCTCTATTATTCCTAGGAGCTCTGTGCTGACTCCTGATAGTAGGCTCTTACAACCTAGGGCTTCAAGAACATGGGTTTTGACTTTACCTCTAGCCAGGACAGAGCAGAGGTTTGGGTATGGTAAGGGGCAATGTGTGCAGAAGGGATGCAAATGGGATACGAAAAAGCAGCTCACATCTAGGTTCCTTTTTCTGCCTGAATTCACTCTCATCAGCAGATCTGAAGAATGCATATCTATACAAAGGACTTGTCTTCTGCCATTCACCATAGAAGCCAGATCAGTCCAATTTCTGGCAGGGATGTTTGGGCAATATGTGACCTATGTGATCATCTGTAGTATAAAATGACAACTTTCTAACTAATACATCCCTTTCAAAAGACAAAGCAGGGGCCTAAGGAAAATATACCCTACTCTGGTAACTCTGTTCTACCAGATATCCTGTGATAGAAAAGCAAGTACCATCTTAGACCAAGCAGCAGCTAGAACCTCATCCATTAATTCCTTATTCCACTCCATCAATCTTTACAGAGTAATCACATGCAGGGGACTTTATGTGAGGCCCTGTGAACTTAAAGACAGCCTATGATCTTAAAAGCTCTTGCTCCTTAGAAAATGGAGAGAAACAAGGAGCAGTGTGAATGAGAACAACACAGGATAAGCTCCTTGCGGATGCACATGTCAATGAACAAGTAGCCTTGGCAGGATGAGTATGGACAGCGACACAGAGGGACAATTTTTCAGTAGACCTTAATACATACAAGGGCAAAAAAAAAAGGATTTTCAGACAGGCTTGTGAGCATGGGAAAGTCTAGCAACTTCATATTCTAGGATGGAGTGGGGAAAAAGGAATAGCAGTGAGTAACAGAAAGTGAGGCAAAAATATGCCTGGACCAATGTTTTATGGAGGATTTTGAATATTAGCCTTAAAAAATACCTTTTTGTGGGGCTAGGCACCGGTGACTCATGCCTGTAATCCTAGCTACTCCAGACGCTGAGATCTGAAGATAATGGTTAGAAGCCAGTCTAGGCAGGAAAGTCCATGAGACGCTTATCTCCATTTAAGCACCCCAAAAGCCTGCTGAAAAAGATCTGTGGCTCAAGTGATAGAGCACTAGACTTGAGCAAAAAAGCTCAGGGACAGGGCCCAGACCCTGGGTTCAAGCCCCAGAACCAGCACCAAAACAAACAAAAAATACCACTTTTTCCCCTCTCAAACAATAGGTGGCTAGATTATCACCAGAAGAGTGGCCTAGCCAACTGACTTTTTGCTTACAAAAGGAGTAACTGAAAGATAAAAGGAAGAGCTGGGAACAGGAGACTGCTTAAAAAAAAAAAAAAAGCAGGCAGTCAGCGTAGCCTACAAGGGAGGGCAGGCAGATCTGGGTGAGACTGAAGGCCACCATAGCCTTGGGCATATGTGTATCTTAATGAAGAGAAGAGGAGCAGGAGAGCTCTGGGTGACCCTGACACTGAAGAGGTAAGATGAGAGGACAATGCTCACCAAGGAATCAGTATGAAGTTCTAAGGGCAGGGATATTTGGTTTCAAGCATTACTTGGTACTGAAAATAAATCATTTACAAAGACGTGGTCACTGAAGAACTAAAAAGACAGTACTGAATTGTCTTTCAACGAATGTGCTGTAGGGTATTACTGGAGTTTAGAAGCCATACACTTATTAGGGGTCCTGGAGCCTGGGGTTGGGGGTGGGAGTGGTGACTCTAAGTCAATTTGTTTTTATTTTCTCCAAGCCCAAGGTAGCTAGGAGTATAAATTAGATATTTGCAGGGAAGAAATGAGATCAGAAGGCTTTGATGACTAAGACTAGGGAACAGAGTGTGGCTCCCTGGAGAAAAGTCCATGGCCACAGCAGGTAGTTAGGGACAGGATCAAGTTCTGGCCAAAACACCAGAGAACATCTGGAAATATCTGAAAATATACCGAGGGAACACAGACAGACTAGGCCCACTGACTCCACAGAAGTGCTCTTTATAATGGTAGAAGCCAATATTTTGGGAAAGCCTCTCCTCCTTTCTGGAAGCATAAGAATTAATTGGAGAATTTCTGCAACTTCCCTGGGAAGTACTGGAGGAAAAGGACAAGGGGATGAGTTTTTTTTTTTTTTTACCTAAGTAATGGCCTGCTTTTCAAAACTATAGCTCCGAGGTCAACTTCAAGTCCAAAGCTCAATCTGGACTGCATAAGGTTGATGCCCTACACGTAGGCTTTCTCCTTGAAGTCTCAATACAATAAATTAAAGTACTTGCTTGCCTTTCCTTGATGCTTTTGTTCTTTAATTTCTCATCACCTTTCACTCTTGTCAACCTATGATCAAAACCAGCTTTTCCCATGAAGAGAGACTGCCTGCCTACTGTAGAAGCTCCCAGCTGCTTGTGGATGTGAACCCCACATGGCAGCAGACCATTTCCTTCTAAATGTGCTTTGTTAGGAGGTCCCGTTACTCAACCAGATTCTCTTATAAGCAAGATCAGAATCCTCCCATTATTTTAACCCTTGCCTCCTGAAATGCCTCTGCCTTCCCAGGAAGAACTCTGTCTAACTTCACTTTCTGCATCTGTTTTACGTAACAACTGCCATCTACTGACAGCGATGCTGGGAAGCCCTTCAAGAAAGTGTGCTCACATAATACATAAGTTGGCCTCCAAAACCCTGGCACAGAGCTCCCATAAAAGAGACAGACTCTCAGGAGATTCTATCTCCTTGGAACTATCCCCTTGGAACATTCATCCCCAAAGCTCTGAAATTGCTTCTGGGCCTAAATACCCCATACTGTCTAGGTACAAGAGAACCTCACTGGCTCCTTTGTAAAACAAAAGGGCATGGCTTGTAAGCATTGAAGAAACAAACTAAGTTTTAAAGATCAGGATGGATTTCAAGAAGAACTTTGCTTTGCTTCATCTCTCTTGGCACACAGTGCAGCCACAGCGCTCTGTAAGTGCAGAGATGCCACCGTTATTGCAAGAGTTCTCACAGTGGTAATTCGGGGTCATCTCAGCTTATGAAAATATCTTGCTGAGTAAAACTATAAAGCAGCATAATTTTCTGGCGGAAATGACCCATTTTAAAACTCCTATCTATATCAGTACTGATTATAAATTAGTTACTCATTTCCTCCTTGATAACACCCAACTGTTCACACGCTACTGAACCTGCCTCCCAGGCATGATGATTTACTGGTACAAGCAAGGTGCTATAAGCCAGTGCATTGGCTTACTAGAGGACACAAGCAGAACATACATATACACATACAGTCACACAAATGTACACACATTGTGTACACAAGCTCCTTCATACACTCAAAAGCACAGGCATATATATACATATATTTATGTGTGTGTGTGTGTGTGTGTGTGTGTGTGTGTGTGTGTGTATTAACTCCAGAAGTAAATTAACTCCAGAAGTAAAGCTGTGGCTGAGGTGGTAGAAGGCTAGCATAAAAGCTCAGAGACAGTGCTCAGGCTCTGACTTCAAGCCCCAGGACAAGTGTGTGTACTCGCTTGCACGCGTGCACGCAACACACACACACACACACACACACACACACACACACACACACAGCTTCATCACCAGGCAAAGAAAACATGGCACAGAGTATCTGGGAAATGTTCCATGAGTATGTTCCATGTGCACATATCAAGAACTTTCCACACTTTTACTCTGCAACCTTTTCCATCAGTTCAGACGAATATTGTTCAAAGATGTAAATATGAGAGGGAAGTAAACCAAAATCTTAGAGGAATTGAAGATGAATTTGGAAAAGGAGATGTTCATGTATTTAGATATGGACAAGTCACAGCAGGTAATATCTGGCCATGCATAAAGTGCCAAATTTGACCCCACTGCAATCACCCCAATTATTCACTTACAAATGTCCTTTCTTTTTGGTCCACAAAGATCTGATAAAGATTGTACAGAAATTAATTGAAATTAAAGAAAGGAATAGTTTGTAATTAGAATTTCATCTCTCTGTGGTATATGTGAGACCATCCATTTCTTAATCGGCTTTTCTTTAGTTGGTCTTGTTTGGTGCTTCACATAGTGAGAACCAATGAGTGGGGCCCTGGTCTCTGTCATGCTCTAACTCAGAGTGTCAGAAAGAGAGTGACATCCAAATGCTTCACAGCTCAGCTCAGCTCTCAGCTCTTCTGTCTGTCTAGGGTTCTAAAATGAAGGAACATCACTGCCTAGTGATGGTGGTATTATAATGGACGCTGACAGTGAACACTATGGCACTACATGCCAGATACTTTTTTTTAAAAAAAAGCACTGGATATAATAATTGTTCACTTCTCAACAGAGTGCTATAAAATACGTCTATGAGTATTCTCATATTTTGAATGAGGAAATGGAAACACAGGAAGTGAAGTAACTTGCTTAAGATAGTAAATGGTGAAATTAGGACCCGAATCTAGGGCGATTCCAGAACTGTGCTTTTTGACATGACCTACACAGTCTGTTACACCACAGCCTTTGGCAAGCATGACTGGAGTCCACTCCCTCTTAAAGGAGATGCAATATACTGAATCATCTAATACAGTTTAATACATTTGACATCTTCCTTTCTTAAACTCAAGTGAAATTTTTCTAAATTGAACAAACAAATGATGGTATGGCCATGAGAGGCTTGTACTTGGTACCAGAACTTTCCTTAAAAGGTGAAAAGGATGCTGTGGCCAAGAACAAATAAAACTAAACTTCATGTTAGGTATCTGAAAGTAAAATCAAGATCGAAATCTTTCATGTACAAACATTTCCATGCTCAGACCATGAGGCAGGTTTCCCTGAGACAACGTGATGCATGCTGTTCTAGTAACAGAAAACCACGTTTCAGAACAATCTTCAGCCTAAAAATTCCCAATTCTCCCTTCCTCTTCTTTATCTCAGATTTGTTTTCATGGGGGCTTTACTTCTTCAGATTTATTTTTCCATAGGTGTACAGATTCTCTATCAGATGTAATGTTCTCAGTGGTAACACAGTTAGCAGCCAGAATAAGTTAGCATATTTCGTAACACAAGGTTAACAGGAAGCAGGGTGCTTCTCTGGGGGTGATTTTGGCCTTTGTGAAGTGGATGGACTCAACAACTCACCTTAGGCTTAAATGCAATGACTTTCAAAACCATCTCAACAGTGAACACCCCAGTGAAGACCATGTTCAGAATGTCCATGGCATCGTTGAACATCTTGGACTGCTCGTAGTGCTGCAGATGAAGACAGAGGTGCAGTTCTCAGACCCCCTGTGGTCTTACTCCCTTACATGCAGGCTTCCCAGGCCTCTGCATCCCTGTGGGCACCCTCCATGATTCAGCACCTTTTCCCCATGATTTGGTAAGAACTGCAGGGTCACATGGTGAACTCCCACAGAGTACAGGGGGTCTGTGACAAGATGAGGATGATTGAATGATGGAGGGGAAAAGGGGGAACAAACAGGTCTATTCTCTCTGCTCAGGATAAGAAGGATCAATCCTTTCTTCTGATAGGGCTTATACTCAGGCCCTTGACTAAGGCATGATATAGACACTACAAAAAATCTTCATGAATAAAGGTAGAATTTGGGCAGGATGTTATGCCATTTATGTCTATGTTTAATAAGCAGGCATTATAAGGTCTCCATCAGCATGTTCTCTTTTTCATTCATAAAGAATTCTTCAGCAAAAATGCCATAAAATTTATCCTTGACTGTCTGTAGCCTTGTTGTCTAGATGGCATTGAGGGCTGGTTTGATTTGCTCAAGTTCTTTAGGTGCAAGCAAAATCTGGATCTAGACCTTGGCCGTTGCTTTCTGGCCTACTGTCATACCTACTGAACAACAAAACCTCTGAAAACATTCACTGTTGATACTGTTCTGCAATCTAAGAACTTGGCTTATTCAAGTGAGATACAGTCCTTGCTCCAACATCAGCAAGAAGCAACAGTAATTCAGGTCAAACTCAATTATTTCACTGGCATACTGGAACCACTTTGAGGGCCAGGAATGTAACTTGGGTTCTACTTTTCCACACTGGGTGTTCACAAACAGTCCAACATAAACTTTTTTTTTATCTGAGGAAAGGGTAATAGATTTCTCCATTTACCAGTAAAGTGAAGCTCAGAAAATTTAAATACCTTTCACAGAACTGGCAACTTTTCTACCCAGCTGGTAAGGAGTAAAACCAAGGACTGAAGTGACTGTTTGTGGAACTCCTAAGCTTGCATCCTCAATTTCTTCCTGGCCACAGGAGACCCACAGAGAACTGAATGCTACAGGCAGGCTCCATAGGACTTATATATACCATCTGCTCAAAGGAGTGATCTGAAAGATCTACCATGACAAGAGTCAGCCAGAATGGGGCACTGCCATGCTACTGCCCGAACTCATCAGAAAATCAAACTCATCCTCGTGTGAGAGGGAGCACTCCACCCTCAGAATCTTGGGTACAGGGCTGCGCAGAACGCCCAGACTTGGTTCCCACAGCTGTCTCCATTTTTACCTGCATGGCCAAGCAGAGTGTGTTGAGCATGATGAGGACAAACATCATGTATTCGAAAGGCGAAGAGTTCACCACGTACCAGAATTTGTACTGGTAGGGGTTTTTGGGGATGTATCTCCTCAAGGGACGTGCTTTCAAGGCGTATTCGACACACTGACGCTGCAACAGCAGAAAAGGGAAAACACGGAGTTCTGAGAACTTCTAGGGAAGGAGCACACAGCAGTTATCTGCCCTGCCAGAGCTCACTCCAGCCTCCAGGGAGGGGACCAAGGACGATGTGAAAATGACACGAGCAGTCTCCCTTTTTGCCATGGTACTACCAAGACACTCAAGGTCCAGCATACATCACCAACTCTGTTCCTCATGCCAATCTCCAGGAAATTGAATGCTTTTGATATTATTTTTGCTTACTACAACTATACCCAGAGGGCTGGGCATGATGCCTCATACCTGTAATCCTAGCTAGCTGGGAGATGCAGATAGAAGGCAACCCCGGCCAGGAGGAAAAGTTAGTGAGACCTCATCTGAAAAATAATCCAGCTGGGTGTGGTGGCAAGTATCTCTAATACCAGCTACTCAGGAGACAGATGTAGAAAGATTGTGATCTAAGGCCAGCTTGGGCAAAAATCATGACATCCTATCCAAAAAATAAATTAATGACAAGAGGATTGGGGCACAGAAAGTGCAATGTCCTGAGTTTCAATCTTCTCCCCCCGCAAGTCCTGGGACTTGAACTGTCCTGGGCACTGCCCTTGAGCTTCTTTTGCTCAAGGCTAGCACTCTACCACTTGAGCCACAATGACACTTCTGGCTTTCTCTTTTTATGTAGTGCTGAGGAATCAAACCCAGGGCTTCATTCATGCTAGGAAAGCACTCTACCACTTGAGCCACAGCATCACTTCCAGCTTTTCCTGAGGAATCAAGCCCAGGGTTTCATGCATGCTAGTCAAGCACTCTACCAACTAAGCCACATTCCCAGTCTCCTGAATTTCAATCTTTAGTACCACAATACACAAACAAAAACTGTAGCCAGAGTTTTTGCTGAAGACCTATAGTATTTAACATATAAGCAGAGGAGTGAGGACTTGTCCCAGACCATTCTGCTAGTGGGACTTGACAGCGTATCAGCCCCAGAAGAGGAAGCCAACTGCCAAAAGTCATACGCTCTTCAAGAACCAGAGGACCTAGGCTAACTTCCTGGGACAGCAGCCTCTTGACTGCTCAGATGGACCCATAAGATGCCTCTCTTCTGAAGGCAGGATGAGCTAAGCATTGATGCCTTATGGTAAGTTGTCAATGTGTCTCTCTGAGAGATGGGGGTTCAGGAGCTTGACATGCTCATTTCAGAATCCCAGGAAAGGATAATAATGGTTTGACTAAGGTGAATTAAGATTGGGTCTTAACCAGAGTACTGTCCTTCCCACTCATACTGGAGATGAAGGGTTAGTGCTCTGGAACAAGACCAGAGGGAACATTCAGCCCTGAGAGCTTTCAGCTCATTCCTGAGTCCCTAGACCTGTCTCACTCTTCCTTTGACTCTGAATACATCAGGCTAAGACGTTCCCTGTATCCAAGACTTGGTGCCACTTTGACTTTACCTGCCCTGATTATGGCCCTGATTTGAGACTTTGGGGAACCTTGGCTGCTGACACACTATAGTGTTGGCCCTGCCTGGATGGCTTTGGACCTACCATTCATCTTGTCTTCCTCATATGAGGAAAGGGTTGGGACAAGTCTCCTTTGGACTGTCACTGGTGGATCTGCAAGAATATCCTCACAACTCTAAGGGAAGTCTTTCTACAAATCAAACCACCAGGGCATCCTCATGTTTCCTATGAAACAGCTCTACCTGGGTCATATGTTTCTTTATGCCAGCTCACCTCAGGAAGCCCCAGCTACCAGGTCATTCTTGCTTATTATGTCATCATCAAAGCAGAGATACTACTGATAGAGACTGAGAGAAGCTCTAAATCTCAGCCACGCTGGAGAGTTCAAAGGATCTTTCAAGAAGCAACTCCTTAATGGTCTTAATTTAGAGATAATGGAATAAGTGTAAGGATGGACCTAATATCATAGAACAGATACAAAAAGAGCAGGGCCAGAGAACTCCTGGATTTCTGGTATCACCAGTGCTCATAGCTGAAAACCCTGTGCTTTTACCAGACTGGCTAAAACAAGGTGCTAGAGAAAGAATTACGCAAGTGAAACTTCAGTCCCCAGTTCAATGTTTCTGGCTTTCCCTGTTCTATTAGAGGGTTCTTCCTCCTAAGTCAGCAATTCTTGACCAGGGACCACCATGTTCCCCAGAACATACCTGGAAATGTAGGAAAATACTAGGTTGTCACAGATAAGGGGGGGTACAACTGGCATCTAGTGAGTAGAGGGCACAGATGGTTCCTATAGCCCTGGAAATATAAACAAGAACTATCTAGCCTACAACATCAAGTGTCAAGGTGATGAAAATCTACCCTAAGCTAACACTAAGGAGTCTTCAGTAGGAACTGTGGAAACTTACTGTTCTCTGTCCCCAGATCATAAAATCCCACTAGATTCTGAGCCATCACGAATGGCTCATGGTCTAAGAAATTGGCCAAAGCATTCTCTGATTTCTTACCAACAGGCCTGGGGATGAGTTTCACAATCATAGTCTATTTCGTATGAAGCTGGGGATTGAACCAAGGACTTGTTAGGTAAGCACTCCAACCCTGAGCTATAACCTTAGCCCTTCACCATCTCTGGGGACCTGACTCTCCACAGGGAGATTTAATGTCACTGAGCATGTGCTCTGCTTAGGGCCCTGAGCCACCCACATGGATACCCTTCTCTGTGTGGAGGGAAAACAATTGAAAGGAGATCTGCTCTTTCTCAAGGGAGGAAGCACAAACAGTGTGTGACTTTAACCTGATTTTTATCCAGCTCACAGTTCTTATACTCTTTTTCTCCCTGCTCTTGAAATGTAACGATGACAAAGCCCACAAAAATGTTCATCATGAAGAAAGCAACAATGATGATGTAGATGATAAAGAAGATGGAGATCTCCACGCGGTAGTTGTAGACTGGGCCAACATTCTCTCCGTTGGAGTCGATGGCTTTATACAGCAACCTGGAGAGCAGAAAAACAGAGTGAGGACCTTCAACCCCACTCAGTCCACAAGGCCCAGCCCACTGTTCACTAAGCCCCAGAATTCCTCTGAACTCCTCTCATGAGATTGGTTGCTAACTCCTCATGGGGTGCCCACCAAGGCCTCTGGACACAGCCAGGTCCTTATGGGGTCCTCCTCAGCCTCAGGTCCAGACAGGAAGGGGAACCTGAGATATAACCATTGAGAGACTGTTCTGAGGACTGAAAATAAAAAAATTTCTCCAGTTTTCAATGACATTCCATTTTATTCACAGGAAAAAAAAAGAAAAGAAGAACAATGCCTATAATGTATTGAAACTGAAAACTATCCAGGCTGACAGAGAAAACTGTCTTTAAGAGAAGTTCCTTAAACTGAAATAGCTATTAAAAGTAAATATATGTCAAGCAGAATTATTGACAAAAAGGAGGAAATTACCGTAACATTCTCAATTTCAACTGACTTTTCACTCTGATGGAGATTTAACCCAAGGTGGGAACACTCCCTATGGATCCAGATTCATTTCGCTTTCACATCTGTACTGACATCCACATTCTATGCATACTCAGAGAGGGATCTAAGTGCCAAGGTCACACTCGGCAGAGGCAGAGGTGGGAGCTTAGCTCAGGCCCTCCAAACCCTGAATCTTAGGTGGATTCATTGCTCCTCAGCTTCCCAATGGCTGTGTCTAAAACCTTAAATGCAGTGTCTAAAACCTTGATACTACATCAAAGCCTCTTCAGACTGAAGGTCTTACTCTGGGCCTCTAGGAGTAAGCCATACTCAACCATCTCTTTCACTCCACAAATGCTTCTGGAAATATGACTCTCAGAGGCACACTGAGAGTTTCACCTGTGAGGCTCAGAGCACCCACCGTCTGCAGTTCCTGTAGGAACAGGGCATCTGAAGGGGAATGGGAAAGAGACTCTTGCTCTTTCTGCCTCTGTTCTATTAGTCCATCCTTACGCTTATTCCATTATCTCTAAATTAAGACCATTAAGGAGTTGCTTCTTGAAAGAGCCTTTGAATTCTCCAGCGTGGCTGAGATATAGAGTTTGTTCTACAAGCTTCTCTCAGTCTCTATCAGTGGTATCTCTGCTTTGATGATGATATAATAAGCAAGAATGATCTGGCAGCAGGGGCTTCCTGAGGTGAGCTGGCATAAAGAAACATATGACCCAGGGTAGAGTGTTTCTACTTTCTTTATGCTCTGCATGTTTTATTCACCAACATCCTAGCCATTCTAGAAGTATCTAGAAGATACTTCTGGCATCTAGGACATATCAAGGATCCTTTCTAGTTTGACTATCTGACATGCTTACTGGATTTGAGGTTTGCAGGGAACGATCATGTCCTATTTTGTTTCTTTCACAGGGCCTAACATATTTCATGGAGATGGCATCACAAACATACCTCCCTTGAACAAATGACACAGGACAACCATCTACACCTATAGTAGTGCTCATGAAGCATCAGAATGAATGGTTTGGGACATAGGAACAGCAGAAAGGCAGCTTTAGTGAAATGGCTACTGATAGGAGGGTGCAAATGCTTCTTATGACTACCTAGTCCCATTCAGAGATGCTTCTATGGTCCTAGCCCAACCCTGCTTCAAATCTGAGCAAGCTATTAGTGGGCCACAGAAGCCACTCATCTGCCTATTTGGATTGAAGAGCCACTTGGGCTGGGAAATGGTGGTAAGTGGTGCAAAGTTAAGTCACATAGCACTTCACAACTATGAAGAAGAAAAATGGGGCTCACTCCTTGAGAGAGGACTCAGCCCAGTCTCCCCGAGGAGCAGCAGATACCTCAATGGAAGACTGTGTGTTTTCTGTACTCACGCAGGCCAGCCCTCAAACGTGGAAACTGTGAAGAGCGCCATCATGGCAGAAAGGACATTGTCGAAGTTGAAGTCACTGTTTTGCCAGATCCTCTCACGGACCACAGGGCTATCAACGTCTCCATCCTTGTAGAGGATGAAAAGCCCCCTAGAGAAGAAAAGAAGTGCCAGTCACCCTGACTTCACATGTGGCAGGCAGCAGAAAGAACTAAGACAGTCCCATGGCTCCAACACCTTCAGAATGCCCTACTCAAGTCACACACCTGAGCAGGTCACAGGCAAAGCTTCTCACGTAGAAACTTTGCTTTCCCTACATTAAATTTGCTCTGCAGTTCAAGTGACTGTTGAATAGTGACTACTGCAAAGTGTATTCTCCAGAGCAGCTAAGAGATACCCAGCAGGACTGCTAACAAATGAAAACTTCCAAATTGTGTTTGGTTCTCACAGAAAACAGGCTCAAAGTATATGCTGATGAATTAAAGATATGGCCATCAGGCGTTCCATGAGCCCAGGTATACCCTTATGTACATCTTAGTTTTCAGCAAATCTCTTTCCATATCAATAACATTCCCAATTTCATTTCCAAAAGAATTCTAGAAGAACTGTTATATGATATTTCTTATAGCACTTGATGTCTGGAAGGACTCTAAGAGAAAAAGTCTGTGATTGTTATTTCACATGTGAGGAGGGACATCTCCACAGTGCTTCCATACTGCCTAACTATAGGGGCGCTCTGTCCCCCAAATCTAGGTGAAAGGTTCCACAGTCAATTTGCACCTTGTCCTCTGTGACTACATTTTTTGCTCAAGGAAACCCCAAATTATGCAAGGGGGACTGGCAGCTAGACCTTGGTCATTAAATCTTAGAAGGACAGGGTCACAGATTCTACACAACCTTAAGCTCCAGACAATGTTTTCATGCTTGCCTTCATATTCACTGGACATCTAGAGCAAAAGACATGAATACTGCCTACTGTGCCTCTCCTTTGCCAGTCTCTCTGAGTAGAAATCTGACCAAAGTGTGGGTGAGAGAAACAAGGAGTGAGGAAGCCTAGAAAGACTTCTGGAAGAGGAGAGTCACCTCCTCAATACCTTATGGATGTAAGGTCTACATCCATAAGGATATAAGGGTAGTTACTGTTTGGGACATGTCTTCATTGTTATTTCAGGATCCCCTTCCTCCTTTATAAATTTTATACCCAATAGTGAAAAACATCTGCCCATTCTTTTGGGATGATAAAAGTTTTGAAATCAGATACAGGTGCTAGATGCACATGACTTCACTAAATGCCATTGAATTGTGCACTGAAAACAATTTTAGCATCAGTGAATTTCACTTCGTTTTAGAAAACAAAGGGAAAAAACCCAACATTTATCTATCCAGCAATGAGATAAGCACACAAGTGCCTTTTATCTCCTGACTTAAACTTCTGAAATGCTAGCATGAACAATTCCTTCAAGTTTTCAACTTATTCTTCCAAATTCTGTGCTCTGCTCTCAGGACACCCACCTGCATTCTTCAGGGTTACTTTTGGCTTCATCTGTGCAGCGATAGAATTTGCCCTGGGTGCAAAACAGATAGGTTGTCAAGCACAGGTTCTTCCTTATAGAAATCAAGCCAGGCCTTGAATGAAAGCACCCCTACCTTGAACAACTGGACCCCAATGCAGGCAAACATGAACTGGAGCAGGGTGGTAACAATCATGATGTTGCCAATGGTCCGGATGGCCACGAAGACACATTGAACAACATGCTGGGGAGAAAAGAGCAGGGAGATGATAGGGTGTCAAGTGACACCCTAGAAAGGTCCTAGAAAGAGCCTAAAAAGGTGAGTTGATACAAGCCTAGGGCTTCTGTTTTACTGCACACTTTCATATCATCTTCCAACTTCACAGGCCTTTGTGTTTTACTTTCCATTGCTATTGTGAGGATTACTCCATAATTGAGCCTCTCTGGGTTCTTCTCAAGTAATTGGTTTAATTTTTAAAAACGCTATGTGGATAGCAATGTCTAGCACATAGGCTCCCCGCATCATCCCACCACCAAATAGGACTTAGAAAATACAAACCCCTCTAGATTTGTCTATAATCTGCCTGAACAGAGATTTAAAGTCAAAAATAAACACAAAGAAATACTAGTGATGAGAAAAATAATAAACATTAACCACAATGGAAAAATTGGGGATAAAAAGAAAAGAAAACTTAAAGGACACTAGGAATTGGCAGAGGTGGCTTAATTGGTGGGGGGAAAACCCCACTTGAAAATTCATCAGGCCCCAGCACAGCTCCAGTGCAGAAGCAGCAGTAATGACAGCCAAGCTTAACTCAAACCAGCCCTGCCAGAAGGATAGGAATCAATACCTTAAGTCCTTTGGCTCTGTTGATTGCTCTGAGAGGCCTCAGGACCCTTAAAACCCTCAGAATCTTCACAACGGAGATGGCACTGGATCTAAGGAAGAATAGAGGCAAAAAAGTGAGTGAAAGACATTCTGGATGGATAAGAATACTTTGAGATGAGTAGTTTTACTTGATCTACATCTCTTCAATTTGCCTGCTATCCATGTTGAACTGAGCTGATGCTTCTCTAGGATATCAGTACAATCTCTTTCCAACATATGCTACACACACAGTGCCTCCTGAGATGAGCCCATATGCACCCAAGAAGGCTCTACCTTAGGTTCACAACTAGCCTTTGCAGAAATGCAATTTATAAACTTGCTTTGTTCTTTTCACTAAACATAAATAGTAGGTTGCTTCTGGCCTTTAGGTTTCAATTTGTGTTCAAGTTTAGAAACCTTTTGCAGTATTTTGGTGCTGAGCTTCTCTGGCCTTCAAGAAGTGATGTCTGGCAGAAGACATGGGTAATCACAGTCCTGAGTGGTACTTAGGACAATGAGGTAAACTCAGTGTGCTGCGCTGGAGAGCACAGCCTTGGGGCAGTCTGTGAAGGCTGACTAGAAGAGTGATAGTCAGGAAGTTGCAAAGGAGGAGTAGGAGTTAGCTGTAGAGGGGAGAGGGTCTCCAGACCATGGGAGCAGTGCATGTAAAGGCACAAGACAGATTATAGCTCATTTGCAGCACCCCACATATGGGGACCCCTGTATAGGAGGAAGTGGGTTAGAGCTGCAGCTGGAGAAGGCAGGGAGAGTCTGGAAATTTATGGTACTTATGAAGATACAGTGTAAATGTCCTGACCTAGGCTAGGGGGCTCCTTTTTTCTGGGCATCAGTGAGAGGTAAGGAGGATGGCCAGGAAGGCAATGCTAGGCATGAGACCTTCGTCCTCCCCAATTACCTTTAGTTGGAGAGATGCTTGTGTACACATATACACACATGCAGTACTAATGATCAATTCCAAAAGAGGTGTTCAGAGGCCAGCAGGAAAGTGAGGCCACAGCTGATATTCCCAGTGGAGCCTCTGCCCCCAGGTCTGGCAAATGACATACAGGCCAGGCTCTGCAATGGCTAGTCCCCAGCAGAGATCTCCAAATGCCAACTTCTTACCTCAGATCCCTCCTAGCTGAAAAGCATCAAAGGCCAAAAGGAAAGGCTGTAGTACCTGCTGCCTCCTGGAAATTTAGGTAAGTCTTCATTATTCAGGAAGGTAGGGGCCCTGAGAGGTCACCTGGCTCCAGCTCTTCCTCTACAGAAGGGGAGCTGGGATCTGAGAGATGACAACCTCAGGCCTGGAAACAGCCCTTAGAGGAACTGGGAACTTGGCTTTCTCCCCCCTAATTAATTCTTTTACCCTTGGCTCGAAACCAGTTTCATAGGGAATAAAACAACCTAGTCTAGTAATGAGTAAAAAGAAAAAAAGCACAGGATAATAAGAATTGCCCCATCGTTTTCTGGCATGGTTGCAATTCTGTCCAAATAAATATAATCATTAAAATAATGTCTACTCTCTAAGAATTACACCAAAATTTCTTATATAAACCATTGTGTTGATATTCTTAGATGTGCGTGTGTTTGGATTTGTGCTTGCACATGTGTATATGCATATAAATATGTATGTATGTACACACACAACCACACCATAGTATACTTACTGAATCCCAAATGACACCAGAGATACCCCAACAACCAGCATATCCAACAAATTGAAGTAGTTCCTGCAGAAAGCCCCTTTGTGCAGGAATGCTCCAAAAGTTGTCATCTATAAACAGAATTAAAGGTCATTTGCTGTTTTTTCTCCCAGAGGTAAAGAAACCTGGGCTCTTCACAAAACTTTAAGGAAAGTATGACTTTATTAACAAATGCAAGCTGGGCACCAGTAGCTCATGCCTATAATCCTACCTAACCAGGAGGCTGAGATCTGAGAATCATTATTCAAAGCCAGCCCAGACAAATCTGAGAGATACTTATCTCCAGTTTACCAGCAAAAAGCCAGAAGTGGAAGTGTGGCTCAAGTAGTAGAGTACCAGCTGTGAACTTGAAAAGGCCAAGTGAGAGCACAAGCCCAATACTGGCACCAAAAGAACAAACACCAAACAAAACAGACAACAGCAAAGAACACATAAAAGGGCTAAGCAATCAAATAACTTTTACTCAAAATAAAACGCAAAAAGGGCAGCTCATTTCAGACACATTTTTTTTTTTTTTGTCAGTCATAGGGCTTGAACGGTCTGGGTGCTGTCCCCGAGCTCTTCAGTTCAAGTCAGTGCTCTACCACTTGAGCCAAAGTGCCACTTCTGATTTTCTGGTGGCTAATTGGAGATGAGAGTCTCACAGACTTTTCTGCCCAGGCTGGCTTTGAACTGCGATCCTCAGATCTCAGCCTCCTGAGTAGCTAGGATTATAGGCATGAGCCACCGGAGCCCAGCTTCAGACACATTTTTAAGGAGACAAATTTAGACTTGATTACCACAATGATAGACCTCAAATATGAATGTATCACTTGCCTGACTAAAGAACTTGTCTCAGGACAGACTGCCCATGACTACAAATGATAATGTCAACACTGACAGATGACATGGTTTCCCCAAAAATGCTGGTTTGGCCTCTCTGAGGCTCCAGTTATTGTCTACATGGTTCCAATTTTGCTCTTAGTGGAGGCAAGAAAAAGGGCAGGAGTTTAGCACTCACAGGTTCTGTTTACACAGAAATGTGCATTTTCCATGAAGAACCTTTATGATTGCTCCTATCTTTATCTACCCATTTCAGTTTCTCCATGTCTGGCTCCTCCAGCATATGGCAGGTACGGCAAGAAAGCTGTCATGTGACATCTCAGGAAGGTCATTCTCTCTACCATCCTAGCCGATGCCTTGGGTAGCTGGAGCACATACTCTGGGTAGTCCACTGAGAGTTTAGTAAAGAAGTTCCCCAGAGTCAAAACAGAAAAATAGAGTAATTCTGCAATTCTGAAGGGGGAAACAAGGTGAGTAGGGTTGAGGAAAGGCATAGTTGGGAAATACCACCCTGAATCTGAGAAAACTGCCAAAATTCAACCTTTCCAGCCTAAAAAAAGGTAATTTCCCAAAATTTAAACAAATGAGCAACTATCTTATCAAATCTTCCTCAAAGTCACCCTCAGCCAGCATTTCAGATGTGAAGTAATTCTAAGTAAATCTCTGTTCTCCATTTTCTGTATCCTTATTTTAGCTTATTTTTTCCCATTTTGTAAAATACCTACAAAATGAAGAATGACTTAGAAGATTTAAGTCACTGAGGCAAATCTACAGAAATGGAAAAGTAGCGACCATTTTTCTCCCTCTAAAATAATCCGGGGTCTCATTTTTTTTTCCATAGCTCGAGAGTAACAACTTAAAAGATAGAAAGTAAAATATAACTTCAATTAACCAGGCTTATGGACTAAGCAGAAGACTTCCCCATTAAGCTGGAACAGACAGTGAATGACCAAACAAGAAGGTGAGGCTAGAAGAGATGCCAGCAAGAACGCTGGCCCACTACCAGTGTACTCTGGAGCATGGCTTTTACCATCAAGCCACCCCAGTTATCATCTGGCCACTGTCCCCTTGCTCAACTCTGACTCAGAGAAGACTGGCAAGCAAATTCACTGGCTTCACTTAGGCAGGAAAACGAACCCAGGTTTAAACGAATTTTGATTGGTTTTGAGCCAATTTTTAAAAAAAAATTAACAATAAGAATGAAAAAGAAGTCACTACCTGGCCATGTTAATTGAGGTTTTATTTATAGGAAATTTTGTGAAGAGCCCAAGTTCCAACATAAAGTTATTGTTTTCCTTAAGATGCACACACGGAAACCTTAAAATGGCTTAAGGACAGCTGTAGTTCAAAGTCTTCACTTTTCAACGTCTTCACTCTAGAAGATGGTTGCTTTGACAGTTTTCATGGGCCCTGTTCTAGAATTGCAAGGATTCACTCCTGGAGACTCTTAGCTCTCTGCTCCTAGTCTCCAGATCTCTGAGCAGGTAAGAAGGTGCTCCCCAATGGGGTGGCCTTCACATTCAATACACAAACCGCATGCAGCACTGGCAACTGTTAGCTCATGCATGGGCAATACATTTAGGTCGTCCTGTCTGAAAAGGTGTTCCTTTTCTTTATGCAAATGCAAGCCCATCCATTAAAACAGAGACAAAGTATCTTAACAAAACGGACCCAAGTGCTCTTGCAAATCCAGTTGCAAGAAAATAGTATGTTACTATTTTAAGCCACTGAAAACATAATGTAGTCAGAGAAACAAGAAGAGAGGCATTCCTTTCATAGGATAAATGTTTTTCCTCTGACCTTGTGCCAGGGAAGGGTAAAAGAAAGTTCACACATAGTTATCTGTTATCAGTGGACAAACTTCAGAAGATTTTTTTTTCCAGAAAGGAGCAAAATGTAATTCGAACTGTTGTGAAGTCCAAGTAGCTCCTACATGCACTCAACAGTGAAAAAGAAAGCAAAAACAAGACGGAAGGGTCACAGGAAAAAATTCTTTGTTGAAAAAAAATTTAGCTAAATTGCAGAAGAAGAAGAAGAAAAAAAAAAGCCAAAAGCACTACACGCTTCTTTCCTGTGTCTCACACACAGGAGGAGCAGGCTCTTAAACACACTGCTGGTTGCCTATTACCTTCAAAATGATCTCAAATGCAAAAGTACCAGTGAAGACATAATCTGCATAGCCTAGCATCTGGAAGGTAAGCAAAACATGGCAACTATTATTGCTACAGCTGCTTTAGAGTAATGAGGATCAATGAAAAATGCCATTACCTTTAACAGGATTTCAACAGTAAAGATGGCTGTGAAAGCATAGTCAAAGTAACCCAGTATCTGCAAGGTATAACACGTGAAAATAAGAACAAGGTATAAGGACAAGCTGTGACAACCAAATGGCCACAGGTGGAAGCCTCACCTGTGGTTTGAGACCCATTTTTCAGGGAAAAACTCTTGACACTCCAGAGGTAGGGCAGAAATGCTCATGAAAGTTTATCTCTGTCCAATCACAACGTCTTTGTAACCCCCAGGGAATACTGGGGAGCCTTGCCTCTTTTAGCCACTCAGGCCAAGTGGCTTCCTGGGTTTGTGTTCCTAACCAACAAGGGCTGATTTCTGGAAGTGCTATCTTAACAACCTTTCTTCATCAATAGGCTACTTCTACCAGTGACTTTGTGGGCCCTGATAAATGACAATCACACATATTTTGGGTTTTTAATTGTGACTTGACTGAATGAAGTACACTGCCATCTAGCTGAATTTCAGACTGGTAGAGGAACAGAAATAAGGGTGTTAGTGGCAAGGCTAGTGGTATAGCTCAATGGTAGAGCACTTGCCTAGCGTTGCTCTGTGTTCTCTAGTATATTAAAAAAAAGATGTTCATGGTATCAGATAGACCCAGAAATTTCAACATGTCCCTTCAGCCAGTAATCCCTTTCTTTTTGTCCAGGCAGTCTTAATCTGCATGATTTTACTATCTGCCTTCTTCTAGTCATTGTACTGTACCTAATTCTACAGTCTTCCAAGTCTGTTTGTTTTTTTTTTAATCCTCTCAAAGGATAGACTGGCTTGGCTTCTAAAGTTCTCTCAGTATTTCTGAAAATACCTTCTAGTACCCTACAGGGTCCATGATGGAGTCTCTGTACTATTGAACTACTGCAGGGCAAGGGCCCAGCAGCAAAAAGTCTAACCACCCCAGCAAGGACACTTGCAGGGAAGGGTCTGCACACCACTGCACCCTCAGTGGTTTTCATGGAACTACAGGTGTCAAAGATAGAAGGACTGAGGAGATCATCCTGGCCTACTCTTTTTATTTAAGAGATACAGGTACTAGAAATAGATGGGGCCACCCGTTCAGGCCACTCAGCCAGTCACAGCATTGCTGTGAAAGTCAAAGGCACAAGGGCCTTGGAAGTCAGCCAGGTTATTTTACACATGGAGACACTGTAGGGGAGTGTGCTATTGCTCCTTCCCAGTAAGATGAGGACCTCTGCTTCAGGGCCAGCTCTCCTCAGAGCAAGTGCTCTTTCCAAGGGTACTCTCCTTCCAAAATATTCCTGTTAAAAAAGCTGGGCACTGGTGGCTCACGCCTGTAATCCTAGCTACTGAGGAGCTGAGATCTGAGGATCATGGTTCAAAGCCAGCCTGGGCAGAAAAGTCCATGAGACTCTTATCTCCAATTAACCACCAGAAAACTGGAAGTGGCGCTCTGGCTCAAGCAGTAGAGCACTCGCCTTGAACTGAAGAGGCAGGGACAATGCCCAAGCCTAGAGTTCGAGCCCCATGACCGACAAAAAAAAAAAAACAAAAACAAAAACAAAATATTCCTATTTCTGAATTTAACATTTCTGTTTGTGTTTCCTGGCCAAGCAATGGAAGGCATTTTCCATATATCATCAAGCCCTGCCACCTTCTCTTCATTCTCTTCTAGAACACAGTAAGATATTAATGTTGAAAACATCCAGCAGCCAGCATCATTGCTGCCAAGCCTGCTTGGTACCCAGGCTCCAATCTAAACATTTAGATTTAAGTTCTCTTCTCCTTTGTTTCCCTTAGTTTTCTTTGCCATTAAGAATCCAGCTGCTGATTAAAGAAACACTGTAATGCTTTAAAAGCAATACATACATTCATGTACATTTATTAAAGAGAACAATTATAGTTTTGGGAAAAGCAGCAAGGAAACAAATTTGTGGAGAGAAGATTATAATAATAAAAAAGAAACCAGAAGTTCCTATGTAAACTGTTTCTCAGTATGGACACTAGACTCAATGACACAGAGGCTTTTGTGCTTTTCCAATGTCTGGATCTCTGACAAAATCTTTTGAGGACTGATTAAGACAGGCTCAATGCTGTCACTGTTACACAGACACTAACACATACCACAGGAAAAGTGTTTTTCCCCTTCACATCAGAGTTCATGTCTTATCGCTGCCATAAATCACTTGGCCAGGTACTTAGTAGGGAAAAACAGTATGAAGCCTTCTTGTTATGACTGAAAACTGGGTGCACTGCTCTGCTGATCTGCCTTAATTCTAACGTCTCTAAGAATCTGATACCTCCTACATCTGCTAGTCTCCTTTCTCCTGGAGGTGTGTCAGTGATCAACTGAAACTGCATTGTAGTGACTGGGCCTGATAGTCATCAAGCCATTAGATCTTGGAAGCTGTCTGGCCTTTGGAGTTTCCTCAGTATTGAGTTGGCTAGATGCCTAAGATGGAGCTGTTAGAACAAGAACTAATTTCAGTGCAAGTTTCTTTACAATAAGGCATCTGTGGGTGCTACCTTTAAGTTAGGAAGGTGAGGAACAGTAGATAACTTAGTCCTCTGTTTTCTTAGCATAAACACATTCTACCACTCCCAAACCTCAAGTTCCTCTTTCTATGGAACCCTCAACTTACATCCCATTATCTTCCTAACTTATATTTCTCCTCAGAAATGGAGCCCGGTATCTTTGTGTATAGTCCACTTGAGAGAAATCTTCCCAAGTAAGAACTTCTGGCCTTGTGTGGCATGCCTGGATTCAATTTTACCTTCTTGCTATTTGCTCCCCTTAGGCCCAAACCTCCAAGATGTGACTGTGTATATCTGATGGGGAAGGGGAAATAACCAAAATGTCAGCAGCAAGGAGAACGGAGGAAGAAATGTAGAGTCCATGGATGCATTACCAAGTTACTGTAGAGGACTCTAAATAAAGGTCACAGTACATAATACCATTCAGATTGGTCTAATAAAGCAAAAGCTGTGGCGCTCATAACCTGGAAAACAGAGCTACAGGCGTATGCGATCTTCACTCTTAGGTCTCCTGGAGCCTCTCCGGGACATCATCTGCCTGAGAGAGACAGTGCTGACCCCAGAGGGAATCCCACCCACCTCTCCTCTCTCACAGGCTTACAGTGTTCCGGAAGGAGTGACTGCGAATGGGGTCCTCGGCAGCAAGGGCGGCACTGCTCAGCATAATGAAAACGAGGATGAGGTTGGTGAAGATATGGTGGTTGATGAGCTTGTGGCAGCCTACTCGGATCCTGTGGGGAAAGCCAACACAGGGACACAGGCTCAGACAAGGGCCCAAACAGGCTGGGTTTTTAAAAGTATAAGGCCCCCGTAGTGGTAATGGATCAGAAGGAGATGGCTGTCTCAGCTGGACCACCTATGCCCCCACCCAGGTAGAAACGAGTGATCCACTCTTCACCCCATAAAGTCTACCACCAGCTGACCCTATATGGCTGTGGAGGGGACAAAAAATGACCAGCTCTATGCTGGGTACTCCAGAGATCATTTCATCCAATCCTTAGAAGTAGGGATTTCTGTCTCCCAAAATATGGGGGGGAAAGAGGAAATGAGGCTAACATATGTGAGGGAACTTTAAGTGACACAGCTAGTAAAGACCAGACACTGATTTCCAATCCAGGTCTATTTGATTCTGAAGTTTTCTACACACAAAGCCTGACAGCATATCCTCCCTGCCTTAGAAAGAAAACTGTCAAGTTAAACTGAATTTTACCTACAATGATTCCCTATCTTGAGTCCCTCTACATAATGAACAAACTATAATCTACCTTGGTTCCAAAGCTAACTAAAGGACCAACTTAGGAGGATAACTCCCCAACAAGCATACCAATTACAACAGCCATGCCTCAGCCAATTACAGGCTGCCAACTACTCCTACGATGCTCAAATAAGGCACAGGTGGTACCATAGCCAGTCAAGCGGTCTCTTTTCCTCTCTTTCCATATCTGTCCATAAATGCTGCTGCTCTGAACCTCTTTTGATTTCCAAGGATGCTTGATTTGTGACTCATTCTTTGATAAATTAAACTCAGTCCGATTTATCTGAAAATTTTAACACAAAGAATGAAACAAATTCCTTTTGTGTACTATGAGGTGCTGTATTGAAATAGGACTTGCAGTGAGGGCTGATGAAATCTGTCATCTAAAGATTTTTGGCATAAAAGTTTTATTGTGTATGTGTGTATGTGCACGCTTTATGCGTGCACACATGCGCGTGTGTATTGACTGGTTCTGAGGCAAGCACTCAAGGCCCGGGACCTACCCCTCAGCTTTTTTGCCCAAGGCTAGTGCTCTACCACTTGAGCCACAGTTCCACTTTTGGCTTTTGGTGGTTAATTGATGAGTCTCACATACTTTCTTGCCCAGGCTGGCTTCAAACCAAGATCCTCAGATCTCAGCCTCCTGGGTAGCTAGTATTACAGGTGTGAGCCATGACTGGAAAAAGTCCTAATTTTTAATTTTAGAATTGACCCCCAACTAGAAGTCCTTAGAAAGCGAAGTCACATCATCATTTGCTAACATGTAAAGATCTCACTGCATTATATGCTGTAGTTCTTTCTGAGTCCTGAAGCCCCATGAGGCCAGGGAGGGCTGCTACCTATCAGGCTGCTTAACAACTGACAACTGACTGACTTTACCCTAAACACATGTTTGCCAAAGACTATACATAGGTTTTCCCTTGAAAGACTTTTTTTCATTATTAGACTCTTCTCTTTTGGGGCATTCAGTGCTGGTTCCCTTAACTCCCCCTGCTGAAGGTTTGTTAGTTGTTAGCAACTGAATCTGCAGCTGCAGAAGACCTTCTAAAGCAGCAAAACAGGAGTGCTCTTGATTTTTTGGGGGAAAATCAAGTCAAACATAAAGAGCTGCAGGTGTCAGCAAACATCAGGGTAATCATCTCATCCTCCTTTTTTTGGTGCCAGTCCTGGGCCTAAGCATTGTTCCTGAGGTTTTGTGCTCAAAGTTAGTGCTCTACCACTTGAGCCATAGCTCCAGTTCTGGCTTTTTGGTGCTTAAATATAAGAGTCTCACAGAGTATCTTGCCTAGAATGGCTCCAAATCAGAACATTCAGATCTCAGCCTCCTCTGGAGCTAGGATTCCAGGTACCTGCCATCCTTTTTTTTTTTTTTTTTGGACATCCCAATAGTAATGAGCTATAAAATCAATCATCAAATTTTCACCTCTCAAGGACCTGTGAATTATGCAGTCTTCCTTTATGACAGCCAAGAACTCCTCCTGCAATTCTAGAAACCTTTCCAGGAGCTACCTATTCCCCTTGGCAGTTCACTTAATCCCAGATGATTAAAACCTACAAATGAGCTAGTAAATAAACTTCTTCCGCCTACAGTATATGTGAGTCACTACCATGTTCCTGGTGAGTACCTTATTATTTCAGTATGAAAAATACTATTTAAAGCAGTGTATCCTAGAGCTGAATCCAATACTTATAGCTTATAAATATCACCAGGACATATTATTTCATGGTCATAAAAAAGATCACCTAAATGGGATATGAGGATGAAGATACCGTACAGAACTTGGTCACAAAATTCTTGTCCCACAAAGCATCTTAGAAAATGTCCACTGGTTAAGAAAGGGCTCTAGGGGCTGGGAAGGTGGCTCAGTGCTTGCCTCGCATGCATGAGGCCCTGGGTTCAATTCCTCAGCACCACATAAGCAGAAAAAGCTAGAAGTGGTGCTGTGGCTCAAGTGGTAGAGTGCTAGTCTTGAGCTAAAGAGCTGAGGGACAGCTCCACTCAGGCCCAGAGTGCAGGCCCCACAACTGAAAACAAAAAAAAAAAGTAGAAGAAAGAAAGAAAGAGGGTTCTAGGCCATTGCATGGAAGAGCAGAGTGGTCAGCTTCAAACAGAAAATCTTGATGATCACAGACATTTGCTCCATTGCTGTTCCCAGGCAGAAGTTGTAAGGGGAGGAGAATCTAGAACATCACGCCTTCCAGTATGTGGTCACAACCTTAAGGGAAAAGAACTGATGGTTGAGGCAAGAAACAAGCAGGGAAGCTTGGTAGGGAATTGGGGGATCCTGGGACACTTGCGTCCAGAAGACGGCTGCAAAACCACTTCCCCTTCTCCCACCCAGCCATCCTCAAGCAATCTGTAGAGTTTCTGACTGCAGAGAGGTGGTAGCGATGGGACTAGAAAGGGTATATTTACGGGTTGGTCTTGCTAAGAATGAAGAAAGCGCTTCCTTCAGGGATGGGAGCAATTTTCTCCTTCATGTTCAACTCTGAGATTCTGCGAGGACGGGGACCAGCAGGAACCTCGGGTTCATCCTCTTCTTCCTCCTCTTCCTCTTCACCTACTTTAAATAAAACAGTTTTTATAGGCATAAAATAAAAAGATTGCATATGGGTTTTAATTACCGTTCCCAATTTTACCAGTTTAAAATGTGGCTTAAACATTAAGAGCATTTACTGCTTATCTAATCAACACCTTCCTGCTTCTTCAGAATATGGACTGAATAGAGTTGGGGGTGGGGACACAGCCCTCTCTGGTAAGTGTGTTCAGCTGTGGGAAGGAAGTTCTTTCTAGGCTATGATCTGACACAGGTAAAAGTGGTCATGCTGGTGGTATTCTCAATGACATATTCCTAGCACCTAGCTGTTTCCCCAGCTTCAGGCTGAAAAAGCTCTATGTGGGTTTCAAGTTACAGATAAGCAGCCCCTGAACTATCCAAGTCTGGCTTTTATCATCCAATGAGGGCATCAATGAAATGAAAAAGTGTCAGGTGAATGCTAACAACTGATCTTCCACAGAGTTCTGTCAGCAAAAGTTGGGCCAATACTGATCCAGCTGCACATTCCTTCTCCACCACCCTGCAAAGAATTGTGCATCTATGCTGCCTGTGACTGTGGGATATAGCAGAACTAACTGGCCCACCAGGAAGTTGATCCCATTGTCTTGGTGGCCTAATTAGGTCAGCATAAAGGAGGGAGGCCACAGCTAGGCCACCCAGCAATCCACAGCAAAGCCCTGTCTCATCTCATGAGCTGAGAGCTTGTCTCTGACCTTCACCATCATACCTGGCACATCACAAGGTGGGTAAGGATCTTTGTCTTCATCCTCTTCTCGATAGTCATCAATTGTAACCTAGGATAAAAGAGATGTTTCAGGAGAGAAGACAATGGCTCCAATATACTCTAGAGGGCCAAAGGGTAACCAGCTGGTCAGCACAGGATAAGGTATTTTTCTCCTGAGTGTCTGCATGTGAGGACAGGGCCTATTATATGGGGATTCTGCTTCAGACAGAGGCTTGAGCCCAGTTGAGAAACATGATGCCAACTTGGTCCTGGGTTCTTCTGATGTCCCAGTGTAGTAGTTGTACATATTCTATAATAACATTTGGAGCTGGGTGTCATTGGCTCACACCTGTAATCCTATCTACTCAAGAGGTTGAGATCTGAGGATCGAGGTTCAAAGCCAGCCCAGGCAGGAAACTCCATGAGATTTTTATCTCCAATAAACCACTCAGAAACCCGGAAATGGCTCTGTGGCTCAAGTGGTAGAGCACTCACCTTGAGCTAAAGAGCTGAGGGACAGCGCCCAGAGTTTAAGCCCCATGACTGACAAAAAAAGAAAAAAAGAAAAAGAAAAAAAAGAAAAATAACCACATTTGGATTCCTGACTCTAGATGAGATTCTGAGTTCCCTGGAGGTAGAGAACCTGTCAGTCTTTTTCATTCCTGAATCTTGAGTGCCTGACCCCACAACTGCTACTCAGAATTTATCAATTCAATGAACAAATGATGGAAACTTCCACAGCTGTCCTAAGTGTGATGAACTCTGACAGTGTGGCCCTAAATCCTCCCAGATCAACAGATCCTGGGATCACCACTGGGCACAGATATCTACTAAAAATCTCAGGTTTAATACCAGCTCGAAAGATGCTAACAGCATCATGCCCAACATAGGAAAACAAGAAGTCAAACTGTCTTGGTTCTATGGTGAAATGTTAGTTAACAGATAGCTCCCTGACTAAATTCAATCACAAGCCCTTGAGAAGTCAGCATCTATATAATATGCTACTTTCACACCAAAATATTACATACGAGACATGTCACAGCCAAAGTGGTACATTTATGGTGATGCCAACAGAATCAGACTGAAATGAAAGGGAGAGAAGTTATTTCAGTACATACCTTGTTGTCACTGTTGGCTACCTGGTTGACTTCTGGTTTGTTGTTCTTTTTATTTTCTAGACTCTCTTTTCTATAAAGAATACAAAAAACAAAATAACCATATTGCCACATATAAAAATGTTAATCAGGATTCTCAATCAACAATGTCCCATTGAAGGACAAAATTTAATTGAAAACAACACTAACAGAAAAAGCACAGCACAGCCCAAACTCAGAGCTTCCGGTTCATCTAATGCAAAGGATTCATTATACAGATCATCTTATTAAAACCCCTATCCAAGAGCTAATCAGCATTGAATGCATCATTTGTTTTATGATGCCAAAATTAACTGCAATGATGCTTTAGAATGGGAACGTGTGACTCCCATTCTCAGCTCTGAGGATAAAAGCTAAAGGCTTGGCTTTCTTCCAAGATTCTTTCCTCTTTGGCCTGCACCACATGGTCACCTCCATGAAACATGGAGGTGCAGCTCCTAAGAAGCACATTTGGATTTATCAGGTCTTTCAGGCACCTGAGCTTTCCAAACTCCTCAGTTAAGAACTCAGACAAAAATGGAATTACCTTGCAATCTTTTTTCTTTCCTTTTCTTCAGCTTCCTCCTTCTGAGCAGTATTCAAACTTTCAGCATCAGCCAAATTATCAACAGCGATGGCCAAGAAGACATTCAGTAGAATATCTGATTTCAAGATTTTAAGGGCACAACAGATGACTGAATGCAACTACACATGGTCAGCAATGACAATGCCATATTCCATCCTTCCACCCCTTGTTCTGGAAGGCTGGTAGCAGGTAACTGTCCCTAGTGTGGGCACTTAATAAAATCAGAGGACTTGGGAAAGACATGCTCCTCAACAAAGAAACAAACGAAAACCTTTTAGAGAGTTATCTGAAAAGAGCTATATCAAGACTCTCTGAAATCCAGAAAAATCTACAAATGTCAACATTTCCTGTTGTTTCCATAAATCTATGTATCTATAGTTGATGCACATTGCACAAAACAATCTAATAATAACGATGTGTTTTTGATTCTTTGGAAATATATAACATAACACTCATAGTGAGGGTAGCTCTTTTCAAACCAGACTCCTTCAAAGCCATACATTTTTCTAATAGATACTAGATTTTCTTTGAAATTGCTTTTGGGTCTTTAGATAATTCATTCATTTCTTCACTCCATAAACATTGAAAGCTGGTAACATGCTATCTCCTGCCTGCCAGATGGTGCTGTTCTGAAAAGTCCTATTGTGGCTAGATCTTTGATAATTGTGATTCAACCAGAAGTTTTCACATAGTAAAAGTCAGGTAACCAAGTTATCAGGATTTTGTTGTTGTTGTCATATGTGGTTTCCTTGAAATCTTTTTTTTTTTTTTTGCCAGTCCTAGGGCTTGGACTAAAGGCCTGGGCACTGTCCCTGAGCTTCTGTTGCTCAAAGCTAGCACTCTACCACTTGAGCCACAGCACCATTTCTGGTTTTTCTGTTTATGTGGGCTGAGGGAATGGAACTCAGGGCTTCATGCATGCTAGACAAACACTCTACCACTAAGCCACATCCCTAGCTCTGAAGTCTTTTTTTTAAAGTATCCTGAACTATAATATTATCAAAGCAGAAGATTCAGGTTTCTTATTCAGAGTGCAATAAATAAAGTCTGTGCTGGATGAATGCTTCTCTGTCTGAGATAAGAGCATGAGACCACTGCCCCATATGTCTTGTGTAAGCTGAAATCCCGAGCAGTGCTGAGCACGTAACTCAACATAGGCCTTCAGGGATCCTGTGAAGGGCTATTGTGCTTCTATTCAAGGCTTCAAAAAGGATGGAAATGTGAGTGAACTACAGTAAGATTGTCACAATACCTTTGATGTAACAGTGTATGCTGGAGCTGCAAGGAGCTCAAGAAAACCATGTCCTGGGTGGAGAGAGCTTGAGTACTTCTTTGATGGACATGGGGGATGGTGACTTAGATAAGGCTCAGTGCTAGGACCACGGTTCTGACTGTGTCTCTCAATGAAGACATAATTGCTTCTCAAGCACTAAACTCTTTTGGGCCATGAAGAGCAAACATGAAATAATAACCTGTAAGAAGGTCGTATATATCCCTAACAGATGGTTTCCAAAGGCAAAACCCATCATCTGTGTTTAGAGACATTGCCTACACCTCAGAAATAGCAGTTCACTCTGGAATTCATTCCAAAGTCTACCAAGCACCTCCATCAGGCTAGCTTCTCTTCTGGGTAGTGAAGACATGGCAGGAAACATGAGAAAATAGAACATCTTGCTGGGGACACAGAACATAAATAACTCTTAAGTATCTCATACATGTGTTACAAAGAACTTGAAATAAAATCAGAGAGAAGTGGTGGGGAAATACTCTGCAGTCTATCCTGCTGTGGTCTAAAGAGCCAATCACGAGGACAGCAAAAAAAAAAGGAAAATATTGACCATTCATTTAACAAATTTTTACCAAGGGCCAACTATGCATAGGCCCTGCCCTATAATGAGAAGTGATATGGAAAAGGAGGGTAGGGAACAGAGTTAAAAATTCAATTCCATATCCTACAAAAGGATTAAGTGACAAATGGGATGGGTCTAGAGTGGTGACATTGATGAAGACACACTGTATTCCTAAACTCTTTTGTTGAATGACAACTCCTGTGTAAAACTACTTAAATAAAAATATTTTTTTTTAAAAAAAGAAGATACTGAATGTGAGAAGCTGTTGTCTAAGCCAGGTATAGTGGTACATATTTGTAATCCCAGTTATTTAGGAGGGAGAGGAAAGAGGATTGTGAGGTTGAAGTCAGCCTCAAAGTTATAGAAACTCTTCTAACTGAAAAAAAAAAACAAAATACAAACAAAAGGGCAAGGGTATTGCTTAAGAAGTAGAGTGTTTGGCTTACAAGCATAAAGTCTTGGATTCAATCCTGAGAGGGAAGAAGAGAAAGAGGAAGATGAGGAGGAATGGGAAACAGAGGAAGGAAGGGAAAGAGGGTAAGGAAAGATGAGAGGGAGGAGGAAGAAGACAAGGGAAAAAGAGCAGGAAAGAGGAAAGGGAGGAGATGCTGTTGTCTAGGTAGAGGGATGGAGGACTACTTACACACAGACTCTGCCCCTAGCAACAGATGTGAATAAAATCTAATAGGGTCTCAGAGGTCTAGGGAGGAACTGGACAGATTGCTCCCTGGAGAAGGGTAAAATAAAGCTGAGTCCAGGGACAAGCAGAATATCTCCAGGCTGAGATACTGTTTTCATAGAAACTTTACAACATAAACATCCTCACAGAGGATAACTGGACAGGTTTGTACAAAGGTTCCCATAAGAAGAAATTTCATCAATGTAACCAAGAAGATGAAGAAAGAGGAATCAGCTGAAGGGAGTCCTTAGGAGGAGAATTCAGATGAGGTCTTTTTTTGGAGGGTGGGGGAGGAGGGAGGAGGCTTTCTTTTTTATTTTACATTTTAAAATTATCATTAAGTACTTGCTTATATACAGGGGTTTCAATTCAGCATATCATTTTTTTCTTTATTGAGAAGGTAATGAGCAGGGGGTTACAGTTATATAAAGTAATAAGTACTTTTTTGAGAGCTTTTATGGCACAAAATGTTTATAGCTACAAGTTATACATGAATTGTAAATTGTATAGAATGATATAAAATGCTAACTAAATAGATGAGAATGCATAATTACTTTGACTCAGTTCATTCCAATCATTTCACCAATGGTCCACTTAGAAAGCCACCTCTGTCTAGAGCAGTCAATCTTACTGCAGCCCTGTCCGCGCTCTGCTCTTCTCACTGAGCAAGCGTGTTGTCTTGTTCCCGATTTTATTTACAAGTATTTTAAGCCAGGTTTCACCAAGCGTAAGAAAAATGAAATCTGCCTTTTCATCCCCAAATTGTAAACAGGCGTAAAGTTTTTAAGCATTAATCTTAAATTGTCACAGTTATTTATCAAGTTCTCCTTTCCAATGACACAGTTTGTCTGCATTGTGTCCCACAGTAGGGCCACCAACTCATCATGGTAAGCTCTACCGTGTTCTAGCTGGAATTCCACATCACAGATACTTCAAGAAACATATAAAACTAAAATTATTTCCAATAGCAAACAGTAATACACCCAAAGCTCTGTGGCACTGGTAGACGGCTACTGAGGTTCTCAGGAAGAGAATGCACTGCCTGTCAGTTACTGACTGCTCTCCTTCATGATGCCAATTTCAGCAAACTGGACACTGCAGTAGTCAGCTTTACCCCATCTTGCCAATTTTGTCCAGACTTTTCAAAAACCATCCAATCTGCTCTTTTTCTTCCCAAAGAAATCTGAATATGAACATTTGAAATATGTTAGAAGGCAAATCAAGTGTTACCAGGTCTAAGAAGTAAGTCAGAAACAAGATATGAACGTATTCAGACATCAGATGAAAAACAAAGAAAAACAAAGTAATTCAGAAAACTATTTGGGATATATCATCTTTCCTAAAGACAGACAGCTGTATTCTTGAAAAAAAAAAGATAGAAAATAATGGTTGTTTCTCTGTGTTGTTTCCATTCTAGCATGAGCATTACAACCTTGGTCAAGGAAGGGCTGGTTTTCTGCAAAGGGGAAAGCTGGCAGCCTGTGCTGCCCTCAGAGACTGCACAATCTCCTCAACAGTGCTTCTCTAAACACTCAACAGCAAGGTCAACATCATCAACAGCCACTTGTGATATATAACACACATAGCAATGCCCTTTAGGGCCATGCTATGTTCTGAAATCCAACAAAACCTACTCAAAGAATCCGTAATCCTGCTGCTTTCTAAGGATTTGGTCCTAAGGCTTCACATTATAGAAACAAACAAGGTCTGTCAGGGAGGATCTGTTAGTATTCCGGAATGGAATGCCAAGAGCTCAGCCTAATCGGCCCCTCCCTGCACCTGCAGGACCCATCAGGGAGAAGCTCCCCCCCCCCCCCCCCCCCGGACCCCACAGGGGGAAACCCCCCCCCCCCCCCCGCCCCAAGGAAATGAGTGGCATGTCACCTGTTCCCACAACCCAAGTCTGCTTTCCAAAGTTACACAAGTGCTTGGAAGAACTCGGAAGCAAAGGTCTTCAGAGTTTAAAGGCTTCAGAACGTAAGTGAAGCCTCCTAAAACAAGAAACGTGGATTAACACCATGAATTGGACTCGTTTCAAAGTCTCTTCTTAGAGAAAATAAGTAAAGAAATAAAAAAGAAAATTAAAGGCCATGAAAAATTTACATGTAGCTAAACACTTGAAAATACCAGTACACACAAAAATCTCAAAAGCGATTTCATATCTAGGTCTGAGACGCTCCTTATCAGAAATAAAGACTCTGCCACAGAAGACACATGACAAGCGGTGGAGGTGAGTCCTACACTACACTCCCTATCCTTCACACCCACAGGCACCATCAGGAGGCTTAGAAAAAATAGCTCCAAAGCTGCTTTTAAATTATTTTTATTGCCCAGGATATTTTTTTCTTGTCTCTTGCTTTTTTTTTCAGTTGTTTTCTTTTTAATAACTATAAATTCAAGCTTAGAGAAGCTTGTCTTGAGGTCTTGGAAAATAAAACCAAAACAAAACAACAAAGCTCTTTGTAGCATCATTTCTACCCTGATCTCATTTTAAGAGAGATGGTAGTTACATGGCCAGAGTCAAGTTCCTACCATGAATGATATGGGTTCAGTTCTGGGGGTGCTACACGAGACAACGGCATGGTTGACAAAACTATAATCTGCTGGTGGCATTTGTGGAAAAGAAGCCCTTGCAAGTTTCTAAACAACAGGACATTCTGTTAGGAAGTTCTAAAGTGTCTTACAGGCCCCAGAGGGAACAAGTTAGTAAAATGCTTCCACTGAGTTTGAATACTGGATTTCAGAGTTACTGGAACTGGATGTGTAAAACCAGGGTGGTAAGTTAGGTCATGCTAATAAATAAAGTACGTGACAACACTCCACTCCACAGGCCACACGTATTCCTGGGCTCCTCCTTCCTCAGTAGGTGCTGGCAGAGGGCATGTTCAGGCATTTTCCAATATAGATGCCTAGCCCCAAAACCAGGATGTGAGAAAGGAAAAGTGATGGAATGAACACCCTCAGGAACTCTGCAGAGAAAATGCCTCCTTTCTTCATGGCTCCATTTTTCCTCATGCTTAGCGACACAGCATGTTTAGGGTGCCTGAAGTGGAACTTCCTTGGGCGGAATGTTCTCAGGTCTACTGAACCAGTCTGATACCCAATCTGCCCTTTTCTTCAGAGATTCTGCTTCCTTCTCTCCTTCTCCAGCTTCTTCTTCTGAGAGCTGTGGTCCCGGCTGGTGTGCATCTCCACGACAAACATAATCTGTCCGTCTTCTTGTGGGGAAGGGCTGTCACAGTGGGAGCTGCCTTTGGAGCTGCTCTGCTCTGACTCATGCTGGACATGCAGAAGGATCTTTTCCATGTCTCTGCTGTGGATGGAGGATGAGGAGGGCATGTGCTTCAGCCCTCCGTTCTTCCCATTGCCATTCTTGTAGCCATTGCTGGGTACCTCCATCCAGGAACCTGTGAACTTGCCTCTTTTCTGTCTCCTAGGGGTTCCTTGCTTTCCAGGGTTTTCATTAAGCCCTAGGGATGTGGAAGGAGAAGCTAGAGGCAGGAGGAGGATTTGGGAAGACACCAGCCAGTACATTTGTTTTTAATCACTGTTATCCCCCTCATTTTCTCCCACTTACCCCTCCATATTCCCCTCCCCCTCCAAGTTGTAAAGTTCATTCCCAACATAGTGTCAATATGATATTGTCCCATTTGTAAAGAAATGGAAAGACCTGGAAAAATTATATTAAGCAAAGTAAGTCAGATCCAAAGAAAAAAATAGGGAAATGATAAAACCTACTTAAGAACTAGAATATGTCTTTGCTATTCTTAACAGGGGTCTCAAGAACCCAATTGCTAAGTACAAAAGATCATATATAATAAAGTATCAACATGAACTCTAAGAATTGGAAACAAAAGGTTCTTATGATTTCCTGTATGTAGTTATTATTTCTTTTTATGTTGTAATTTTCTGTACCCTTTGTCTTGTATATAACTTTATTTGATCTATGGAAAGGAAAGGGAATCACAGAAACAGCAGGACAAAGGATGAACTAATGCAGCAGATCAATTTATGCATCTATCTCCCCATCTCTCCCAATGCCACACATCCCCTTAAGTTGAACTACTATGACCAGAACCACATGCCTAGGCTTCCAAATGTACACCTGCCCTTCTGCAAATTGAGGCAAATCAAAGGGATACTGTGACCATAGTCATTGAAATATCATTGTATCCACTCAAAGGAACTTGATATTAATATGAAATAGTTTATTTTGGCAGAAACCAAAGCACTACTGTGGGAATCTGGTCCAAATAAGGACTTTTTAAACTGGAAGAATGAAGATTAAGAGGTAATATTCATATGGGTATACAATAGTTTATTATTCATAGCATTTTTCAGGGGTCTATATGCCAGGTCATGTCGTGCAGGACCTAGTCCAAGATAAGACAGACATAACCACAGGTTCTAGGACTATGGAAGTCTGATGGAGGTAAATAAACAGCCCCAAGGACCAATTTCCAAGGTCTAGGATAACAGAGTGCATCTGGGAAAAGGAGTGAAACAAGTGAGAGAAAAGTTCCACATCGTGATTAGAAGGTAGACAATGGACACTTGATAATCAAAGATATTCAGGTACAGGCTAGTCGACTGAAAATGGGTCTTAAAATGATATGGATGTCATCCTCTGAAGGATAACACAGAACCACCAGGCTTTCCCTCTCTACCAAGGCTCGTCCATTGGGCATGTACATGACACTGAGCTGGATAGTCACCAGTATCAGCACATGCGCTGTCTCCTCTGGTTTGACTCACTTAACCAGCTGGTGTTCCTTAAAGCCCACTGGAGATTTGCTCACGTTATACTGCCCGTCCTCCAGCAATGCTGAGGGAAAGCAGATAGTGAGCCAGCAAGGGAGGGGCATTTATACAATCCCCCCCACCCCCACACCAGATCCACACATATAGCAGTTGCTACCCCACCATCATTACAGAAAAATTCAAAGAAAGAAAAACAAGGCAATGACAATGACAACAAAGCCCTGGTGGGCCTGAAGGATACAGTTGCCGCAAATGAAGAGGATGATGAAGTAGATGCAGACGATCATTCCTGAGGAGGAGGGGCCTCCATAAGCCATGATGCCATCATACATCACGGCATTCCAGTCTTCACCTGTCAGAATCTAAGAAGCCAAAGCCAGGATCAGACAGCAGGTGGGTCACCACTTACTCTTTCACAGCGCTGTGGTGGCTATTTCTGGTTGAAGCTGCCTTTTATATTAGACTATAAATCCATCTATTACCTCATAGAATTTTCAAAATATTATTTTTAATTAGATAGATGAGGTATTTCTTCTAGTGAAAAAAAAAGACCTTTACAAATAAGACGTACCTACCCTTTGCTAACACCCAGCTCAGTTTCTGTTCCCTCCTCAAAGATAAGATGATGCTGGCATATCTCTCCCTCTCCCTCTCTCTTGGACATCTGTCTATGGATTAAAATTCATGTACACATGCCCAGAAAAGGCAGGCAGTTGGTGTCATCTCTGATTTTCTAGGCACAAAGTATATCACATTATATGAATTTTTCTGCAGCTAGCTTCTTACCCTGACCCCATTCAACAATGCTTCCTCAAGATTTTCTGTGTTAGTAGTTTCATCCAATTCTTTTAAATTACTACATAGTATTCCACATGGTTAATCTACTATGGAAATAATTATACCATAAGAGTTTTGAAACATTAGAGAAGTCTAAAAGTCTCATGCAGATACTACCAACCACCTCAAGTTTCAAATTTAATCTTTTCTATTGATAATAGAAAAGATAATAGAAATAGAATACAGACAGCTATTTTAACAAAAATGCCACTTTCCAGGAAGAGGGCTCCATTATCTTCTACCTGGACTAGGTATTTAATAATTCAAACCACTGTGGATTATAAACAACAAAATGGGCAAGAAATTAGAAATGATAAAATTATTCACAAAAGGAAGTACAAATGGCTCTTAAGAAGATACATTCAACTTCACAAAAGGAAGTACAAATGGCTCTTAAAAAGATACATTCAACTTCACGCTTGATAAAATTATGATGAGATGCCATTTGCCTGTCAGATGGCAACAACTGTCAAGTATGAACACCCACTGAGGTGAAGAGAATGAGGCAAAGGAGGTCTTCTCATTGCTGCCAGAGAGCAAATGATCACAACTGTAAGCAGAGCATTTCAACAGGGTACTGAAGATTACGAATCTGTTTATACCCTTTATAATAGCATTTACACTTGAGGGGCTTGTTCCTACACATCTGCCTTACACACATGTCACGTAAGTCTTATGTGTACGGACCACCTGGAGCCAAGACTGGACAACTAAATTCTCATCCAGAGGGAGCGCTTATTTGCAGGATGGTGATCCACACCACTGAATGTAGGTAGTCTTTAAAGGGAGGAGGTGACCTTTTATATAACAGATAGGAAGGCTTTTAAGGTCAATTTAAGTGAATAAAAACATCCTAGTTACTCAGGAGGCTGACATTAGGAGGACTGTAGTTCTAGAGATAAGGTCATAAGACTTGATCTCAATAGAAAAAGTTTGGCATGGTGGCATGTGCTCATAATTTCAGCCACAGAGGAAAAAAAATAAGAAGCTCTCAGGGTACAGGTACATGCCCATGCAAGAAGCAAAACCCTAGCTCAAAAATGACCAGAGAAAAAGAGGTATTGAAGCAGGGCATCAAGGGGCTCATTCCTATAATACTAGCTACTTAGGGGGACTGAGAACTGAGGATCACAGTTTGAAGTTATTATGGGCAGGAAAGTTTGTGAATTTTATCTCCAATAAAGTATCTCCTGCTGCCTCCCCCCATAAAACAAAAGCCAGAGCTGTGGAGTGGTAGCTCAAGTGGTAGAGTGCGTGCCTTGAGAATAAGAAGCTTAGGATAGTACCCAGACCCTGAGTTTAAGCCCCAGGAGCGCCCCCCCATACATACAAACATTGATTCATGACTCAATGGTACAGTGCTTGCTTAGCAAGTATAAGGCCATGAGTCAAAACCCTAGTACCACCAGCAAAGTAAACAAACGAAGATGTAACCATGTAGAGTGAGCCACTATCTGTGTAAATTCATCTACAGGTGTTCAGGTAGACTGGCTTATATCTATGAACAAATAACATATCTAAGACTACACAGTAGAGAGAAATAGCTTAGTAGTAGTTGCCTCCTAGATGATGAAATCAGTGTCTTTGTGAGAGAATTATCAATTCATATCGTTTTGTAACACTTAAATTTTATGCCATATGCATGTATCAAAACAAAAAGTCTACAGGTTTTGAAGGAAGTTAGAAAAAACAATGACACACCAGCAGCCAAAATGCCAGAATAATTAAAAGATTAAACCATATTATTGTACCATATTACTATTCTATTATCAATTATTATACAGTATTCCATGTATCTCAAATGACCATGTGAGAATCTCACAGGCCATTCCCATTAGTTTCTGAGAAGGACAAGTTGCTCATCTGGACACAGAAACAGCCACCGAGAAACCCAACAGTCCCCTCCTTTCCCATAATGCCTCCCTAACTCTCCTGCAAGGCACCAATGATTACTGACACCACATGAAAAAAGCGGAGAGGGTAGATAGGCATTCTAAGCAAATTTTTCAGTCTCTATTCAAGAAGGGGATTAGCTGAGAGCCTGAGGAGAATATTCAGCCCACCTCAGCTTGTAGCCACAATGGTGGAGGGTACACTAGGCCTTGAGTGGCACAGCCACCCATAGAAATGACTGTTCCTTCCCACCCAGCCTCCTAGAAGCCCCACAGCACAGTGATCCCCATAGTCTTCAGCCTATTCCATCACAGAAGCAGGACAGAGAAGGGCAGAGGGGGTGACATTGCCACACACCGAAGTATTCAGACTTCCAAACTCATGTCTTCATGTGTATCTCTTATAAAAAGGACTACAAATTTGCTTGTGCTTAAACAATTAGCCACAAACAAGAAGATTTTAGCAGATATTTTACAGATACCTAACAAAAATGAAATAAAAAAGGGTTTTTGTGTATTATTTTGTTATACAGTAGCCTTAAAAGAAAGTGTGAAGTCATATTGCAAAAATAGCTGAAGATGACACAAAATAATTTATACAAAGTTTAACAGAGCATTGTTAGCATAGAGATTATTAATAAAAATATATTCCTGAGCTATGAGCAGACAAGAAGGCAGATGTTCCAACTACTATAACTCATGGTACACTGGGAACAAGAAAGGAGAGACAGAGGCAAGACTCACCTGAAATACTGTCAGCAATGCTTGAGGAAAGTTGTCGAAGGTGCTTCGCTTAGTCTGCGTTTCGTCAAAATTAAACTTGCCACCAAATAGCTGCATCCCAAGTAAGGAAAAGATGATAATGAAGAGGAAAAGCAGAAGCAATAGTGAAGCGATGGACTTCATGGAGTTTAACAAGGATGCCACCAAGTTGCTCAGGGAAGTCCAGTGCCTGTAAGTCAAGATGAGGGTATGAACCAGGAACACCACCTGGCCAGGGTGGTGTCAAACCTGACCACCACCTCCTGCTCAGAATACAGCTGTGGCACAAAACACATTTCCTTACCTGGTCACTTTGAAGATTCTTAAGAGGCGTACACACCGGAACACAGAGATCCCCAGTGGAGACATGATCTCCAGCTCCACCAAGATGGTCTCAGTAATCCCACCACATACCACAAAGCAATCAAACCGGTTGAAAAGAGAGACAAAATATGCTTGGAGACCCAGACTGTACATTTTCACCAGCATCTCACAGGTGAACAGAGCCAAGAGGACTTTGTTAGCAATATCTGCAAAGACAAAGGGCACACATCCTCAGGATCTCAATGTGGGAGATACTCTGGCTCCACTTCTCCTGGTACCTCCCTCCCACTGGTCTCCACAGTAAACACAGCAATCCCTGTTCTTATCTTTGCTATTGTACTCATGACAGAAGTGTGGCATTGATATTGATGATCTGTTCGTGTGCCAGGTGCTGGATCTGGTACTGCTACTGTCTAGATTTGAGTTGGGAGGCATTTCTTGATTTCTCTGGGCCTCGCTGACTAAAAGTGAATGGTTCCACATAATTTCTGGAATTTCACAGCACTAAAAGCATGTGGTTCTGCACTCAGAACATCATTTTACATATAAATATATATATATTACATATATATTTTTTAAATCTACATAAACCAACCTATCTGTTTGAGCTTATGGCACCCTGAGAGAAGTGATCATTTCTCAATATAATTTCAAACAACAGGAATCACTGCCATGTAGGCTTGAGAGATAGAGAAAACAGATGTAAGAAGGACTTTTGGAGAACCCCAAACTGACAAATGTATGGTAGACTGTCTCTCCACACACTCCATTTTTGAGCATTCCAAGATGGGTAGCCAAAACCATGTGTTAAAAAACAAGGATCCCAACTGGGTCAGAAAAAATGTCCTTCCAACTCCTTGACTCCAGATCTGAGGTTATCTGAAGGTTAGGACAATAATCAGTTTATCACACCATACAGACTGTGCCCCTGCTCCAGGGCCTGCCTGTATTTGGATGGTTTTACCATTTTCCAAGTTAGTGCTCACTAGATGTTTCAGTACTTCACTGCATATCCATCAGATTACACTAAGCAGCAGTTAGCCACAAGGAACCAACTCAGAGTAAAAAAGAGAATAGCTTCACTTGTACCTTGAATCTGTGTCAACCAGTCCGGCTGATTGTAGTGCTCAGAGGAGATGGTTAAAGTGTTGAGAAACACCAGGACAATAACTAGCCAGTAAAATGTGACAGACTTCACAGCAGCCCTACATCTTCTGCGATTGAATCGGTTCCAGCGACGCCAGCGTCGGCTGAAAGATAAGCAAACATTGCTCCCTAGATGACAGATATAGCATCTTACAGTCCAATAAACTATACTGAGCAACAGAAATTTGGACTGGGGTTAGGAAGGAAGGAAAGGCAAAGAAATAAATAGACCTCATAATATAAATCATGTCACTCTTAACATACAGCTTTAAAAGTATGATCTTGACTTGATTGTGCCATTGTGTTTCTTTGCTATGGCTATAAATAACTCCAGAATCTGCCATCTTGAAAAAACCTAGATATTTATAGATTCATGTGCAGATGTAAAACTGCACCTGCACACATATGTAGTTTACATGCCCACTATATGGCATGTGGATTTGTGGTATGGGTGTATAGAACCACTTTAGCTTATATATATCTCAAGTGGCAGCTCAATCATCATACAGAGCATACAGAGTTCATTCAACAGAAAAGTACTTCCAAACTATACTTTTGTTTTGAGGAAGTCTTTCAGGTGTTTTTTCTCAGACTTTCAGGTTCTTTCAGAGCCTGGCAGTTGAGTCATCAGGTGCCTTTTCTAATGAATGATGCGTAAAATACACCTTTAGGGAAAGATCCAATATTGAACTAGCACAGCCAAACAGATACAAAGCCATGTCTTCTGCCTACTTCTAGTTCCTGTTTGCAATTAGGAAAAATATTCTCCTTTTCAGCCTGTCCTTATGGAAAACACTTGCGGCCACAAGGGGATGGTTTGGTGAAGTGCTCCATAAACTGCTGCTCATCAATCTGGATCTCAAGACAGAGCCAGCCCCATAGTTAAGTCCCTCCTCACTCAACCCTGCTGCCCCAGCCACAGGGCTGTGGGGTAGTTCCTCCAGGGATTCAATTCAAGAGGAAAATCCAGGCTGCATCCATGTTGCAGTTCTGGCTGACTTAGCTGTGTTGTTAGACTTAAAAAAAAAAAAAGAATACCTGGACATGATTAATTAAACAGCAATCTAAACATTCACACAGTGAGAATAAAGAGGATATTCTTAGGAGAGGATCTCAAGGGCTCAATAGCTATGTGCATAAGATAATATAAAATGATGTTTATTGAAACGAACCCCAAAAAATGAAGAGGTTTTGTTTATTATATTGTTTGTAGTCCTTTTCCTTTTCTTTTTTTTTTTTTGTTGGTTGTGAGCCTTAAACTCTGGGCCTGGGCGCTGTACCTGAGCTCTTCAGTTCAAAGTGAGCACTCTACCACTTGAGCCACAGAGCAACTTCCTCTTCTTTCCTTTTATCTTTGATTTATTCCCTTCTGTCACTGTTTTTGATTTCTATATCCTTTGTCTTATTAGTTTATCTGTTTTGGGGTGGGGAAAGGGAAGCATAGAAACAGTGGGGCAAAAGGGAACTCTACTGCATTATTGGTGGGAGTGTAAACTTGTTCAACCACTTTGGAAAGCAGTATGGAGGTTCCTCAAATGACTACACAGAGTGCTCCCCTATGACCAGTAATCCCATTTTTTGGGCATTTACCCAAATGATCACAAACAAGGCTATACTAAAGCTACCAGTACAACTATGTTTATCACAGCATTATTTACTATAGCTAAGATATGGGACTAACCCAGATGCCCCTCAGTAAATGAATGGATTAAGAAAATGTAATACTCGTGTGTGTGTGTGTGTGTGTGTGTGTGTGTGTGTGTGTGTGTGTGTATGTATGTATGTATAATGGAAAATGGAATTCTATGCCTCAATCAGAAAGAATGATACTGCCTCATTTGTTAGAAACGGAAAGACTTGGAAAAAATTATATTAAGTGACATAAGCCAGGCCCAAAGAAACATAGGTCCCATGGTTTCCTTTATCTGCAATAACTAGTATATGTCTAGGACAAACAGAAAAGGTCAAAAGCTATGTACATATGACCATATATGATGATGCTAAGTGAAATGAACCTCAAGATAGGGACACAAGTGGTTTTATCTTTCTTGCTATTGTTTTTAATGTATTTATAATGTACCATGTGATCTTTTTTTTGTTTCTTTTCTATGTTCTTCCTCCATGGTATAACCTCAGTTTGCACTGTATTTGATTCTGGTGCCTTGCATCTTGTATATACATTTTTCTAATTTGGGGAGGGGAAGTAAAATAACAAAATACTGAAATAAGGATACAGGTAGCAATGAGATGTACAAGACACCATGTTGAAAACGAACTTTACAACTTCAGCGGGGGGGGGGGAGGGAAGGGATGGTAGGGGAAAAACAAAGGAGGAAGTAACAATGCTCGATAGAAAATGTACTCATTACCTTACTCATGTAACTGTACAGTATTTTTACAAAAAAAAAAAGAAACAGTGGGACAAACAGGGCGAACCAATTCAACAGTGAAACCCTCTAGACACTAGATTGAAAATGAACTATACAACTTTAGGAAGAGAGAAATAGGGAGGGGAAAAACTGGGACAGAATGAGGGAAGAGTGACATTGTTCAAAAGAAAATGTTCTCATTACCTGACTCATGTAACTGTAACCCCTCTGTACATCACCTTTACAATAAAATTTTTAAAAAGAAGAAGAAATGTAACCAAGAAAGTGAGCAAAGAAAAAGCTGTACTACCTCTTCCTTAAGATGTAGATCCAGCAAGGTGTGTTCTGTGTTTGTTCTTGCTGCTGTGCAGTTTTCATTGGAAAAGCAGCTAGAGGCATGAGTACCAGCAAGGAAAACTCTGCCAAGGACTTGCCAAGGTCTCTAAGATTCTAGGAATGCTTAACTCAGCACCTGCAAGCAAGGTGGTCTTGAAAGACCACCTGCCTTGTTCTATCTTGCACTGTAACAACAGGCAAAAGTACCTTCCACACTCAGAAGACCTTAATGCCCTTCTTTTGCAAACTTTCAGGACCCTCAGCTTGCTCCTCATTGGGCTCTGAGTGGCCAGTTTAGTCAAGCCTGTTCTCCCAGGAAAGAACACTCCTGAGCACTATGTGCCTGGTGCCAAGTACACAGAGACAAAGAAGGCATGGCATTAGGGTCCCTGACCCTGATATGAGATCAAAATAACTAATGATGACAAATTCACAGCAAGTGTTAGCCCCAGATTCTAAGTACAGGAGCAAGGAGAAACAAATCCTCTTTGTTGGTACTGGGGTTTGAACTCAGAGCTTAATACTTGATAAGTAGGTGCTCTACCACTGAGCAATGCCTCTAGCCCTAACACAATGCTCTTTGGAAAAGTCAAGGAAGATTCTTCTGAAAAGTAGAGATTTGGACTGATCTAAACAAATGAATTAAAGTTTCCTAGAGGCAGTTAAGGACAATCCATCCAGAGGAGATTGCATGGCCAAAGGTACTGAAGTGAGATAAACCAAGAAGCAGCTTTGAAAACAGAACAGTCCAGCATAACTACAAAGTGTGGAAAACGGGATGTTAATGTTGAGGCAAAGGCCAGATTCCACAGGCATTTCTATGGCTTTTGGTAACTGCAAACACACAATTTTTTTTTGTTGGTCATGGGGCTTGAACTTTGGGCCTGAATGCTGTTCCTCAGCTCTTCAGCTCAAAGCTAGCGCTCTACCATTTGAGCTACAGCGCCACTTCCTGTTTTTTCCACTTCCGGTTTTTCTGGTGGTTTATTGGAGATAAGAGTTTCAAAGACTTTCCTGCCTGGGCTGGATTTGAACCACAATCCTCAGATCTCAGCCTCCTGAGTCACTAGGATTATAGGTGTGAGCCCCTGGAGCCCGGCTAAACATACAATTTTTTATATTTCTTTTTATTGTAAAAATACTGTACAGAGGGGTTACAATTACATGGGCAAGATAATGAGTACATTTCTTATCAAGCATTGTAGCCTCCTCCTTTGTTTCCCCTTCCCATCCCTTCCCATCCTTCCCCCCTCCCCCCATCCCCCCACCCAATCCTCCCCGCCCCCCCCACCAAAGTTGTAAAGTTCGTTTTCGACATACGACTTGTGCTTCTCATTGACATACAATTTTTTAAAGTTAGGTTTGAGACATAATTTACATATGGTCAAATTTACTCTTTGTAGACATATAAACAGAACAAGGATTCATTTTAGTGTGACAGTGCTAAAATGGGGAAAATACAGTATCTCTTAACTCCCCTGCCGGAATTGGGAGTTTAAGACTCCAGAACATAGAGCATTTCTATCTCAAAAAAGTCAAAAGCCCACCTTCTTCTCCAGCCTGGTGACTACTGATCTGTTTTCCTATTGATTTGTTCTGAAATGCTGAAATACTTTGGAGATTTACCCATGGTGTTACCCATATAAGCAGTTTTCTTCTTGTTGCTAAGTAGTATTCTACCAAATGGAGAAACCACAGTAGCTCTACCCATTCATCGTTTGATGGACATTTGGGTTACTTCCCGTTTTGAGTACATATGAAAAAAAAAAAAGGCTGTAAACATTTGTGTAACATTTTTGTGTTGTGTGGGCGTGTATCTTCATTTCTCTTATATAAATACTTAGGATAGGATTGCTAGGCCATATGGTAACTAATGTTTAAAATTCATAGAAACAACTAAATTGTTTTTTCAAAATAGCCCTGTTGTTTATTTAATACATCCACTTGCACTGTATAAAAATATCCATTGATCAGCACTTTTGTCAGAACTTGTTATTGTCATATACTCAAATTGGATCCACCCTGATAGGTGTACAGTGGTGTACAATTGTGTGATTTTGCATTTTCATAATGGATGTTGGTCACTTCACATGCTTACCACCCATATCTTTCTTCTGGTGACATTCCTGTTAAAACCTCTTGTACATTTTTTGTTATTGACATTTTATTGTTATTTATTATTATTATCCTTATACATAAGATATATATTCACATTTATGTATGATATATATGATACTAACCTTTTATCAAATACAGTCTGTAAATATTTTATCCATGTCTATCTAAAGTTTGTCTTTTTATTTATAATTAAATAAAAGCAAATATTTTCATTTTGATGGTAAACAGTTTCTCTAATTTTTGTGTCAAGCCTTGGGCAGTGTATCTTAGGAAAACTGCCTAAACCAAGGTCACAAAGATTTTCTTTCCTTTTAAAATTCTTAGTTTTTACAATTTATATTTAGTACAATTGTCTATTGTCTGTATTTAGCAGGAAAATGTTTCTAATTGGAAAGTAAAACATATCAAAAAGTACACCAAATAAGGCACATGGCTCAATCACTTTTATCAGTCGAACATGTAACTTGCATGCAGATCAAGAAACTATATATTATCAGAACCCTCTTCTGCAGAAAACTTTGCTGTTTTGGGGTGACAAGATGTATCTGATAGACATGAATGAAAGGTTGATCAGGAGGCAAATTATTGTTCATTATTCTGTCCTGTTGGTTTGGGGCAGCTGATCCTATGTTGCTCCCCTAAGGCAGGGTCATAACACTTAATGACTAAATTCAGTATGGATGTTGTAATCCATCGAGTCAAACTTAGGTCAAGAGAAACAATTCTATATGAAAGATAGAACTTAAAACATAAAAGCTCACATACAAGCTCAAAAAAATAATAGAAGATACCAACCTGAGTTTAGATTTTGAGATGGCTTGACTGGAAGAAAAGAAAAAAAAAGTTAAAATTTTGATTTGGAAGGCTTGAGCAAAGTGTTGTCCATCACTTCTTCAGTAAGGTTGTTAGAGCCATGCACAGAAGCCTGGACTTGGTACCTCAGCGGCCACAGCAGGCCAGGAGGGTTCAGCAAAGAGCAGATACCAAGGTGCTGCCATTACCAGGCCATAGGGCTGAGCACACTTGAGGGCCCAGGCAAGAGAAGATTCTCAGCTACATTCTCAGAGCACCCTGGCAACAGCACCAATGCTAGGACTTCTTCTCTTGCCACTCCACTCAACAGCAGTATCACTGCTACTGTTAGAAAAGGAGCACTGGACCAGGAGTCCTGGCTCTGTCATAGCTAGTGAATTATAGCAAAACAGCATGCCTTTGAGCCTCAGTGTTCTCATCTGTAAAACAGGGCAAGGACAAACTCATTCTCGGCTTACTTCATGATGTTGTATGTAGGAAGGACAGAGCAGAACAGAGACAAAAATCGCTTCAAAGGAAGTGGCACTGTGGCTCAAGTGGTAGAGTGCTAGCCTTGAGCTGAAGAGCTCAGGGACAGCGCCCAAGCTGAGTTCAAGCTCCATGACCAACCAAAAGAAAATCACTTCATAAACTGTTCTACTCTACCATAACGTATCATTTTTATGAAACTCTACCAAAAATAAAATTAAGCTCTCTTAAAAAAATGACACCTGTAATTTATAGAGATAAGACATAAGGATGCTGGCAGAAAGCAAACCAAACAGCACGGGGCTTCCCAAAGCAAGTGGTTCTCCGCACACGCCTGCCACTCTCCCCCCCCCCCCCAGATCCCCACTGCTGCAGCCCAAATCATCCAGTGGTGTTAATGGGATGGCATCCTTCATGGTTAGGACAGAGTGGTGCAGGGTTCCAAAATAAGGGTGCCATGAGCAGAAGAGGGTAGCATCTCTGCATCCAGCCACAAGGTATGGGGTTGGGGAGTCCCAATGGGTGAAGGAAAGCAACTCTGCCATTCAAGCTCCTCCTCTGAAGCACAAATACCACACCAGACTGGAAGGAGAATTCGGTTTTACCCCCACCGCCGACACCCTGAGGGCCCAGTCTTGGCCGCGCCTCTTCTTTTCCACCAGCACCTGATGAACACAGCGGGGGGGGGGGCCTGGGTTAACTGGCCCCCTGGGTAACTCATTTCCCACTAAGAGGCTTGTGAAACTCTGGGGTTCTGGAATCTGGTACAGGAGGAAGGGGTCCTAGAGTTTCACTGCCATCTGGAGTGACTTCTCACCCTTATCTTCTCTAGGACAATATGAGTACTGGGGTGGCAGGGGAAGTGGGGAGAGGAAGGAAGTGGTCTCCACACTTACCAGAGACTTCCACAGCAGCCCTGCGCCTCGCCTTCACCACTTACATTCTCGGTGTTCACAGATTCAGTCTCACTGGTAGGCATGCTAGCTGTAGGGAGAAACAAAGGCTTTAGAGAGCATGCTGAACAGGGGGTGGGCCAGACCCTCAGGAACTGGAGAAGAGGGCAAAAAGCATCCTCAGAGGCATGCCTCACCCCAGGAGGTGCTGAGTAGTCAGGCTTCCCCACTGCAGGCAAGCTTTTGCTTCTAGAAGCTGCTGAGAGAGCTAAGTCCACCTCCTGGTGGACCAGAGTCTTCCCAAGAAAGGAAGCTTGAGAGCCAAACAGAATCCTGCAGTGAGGCCTGGAGCAGGCCTAATTGCCCTGTCTCCAGGTTACACTGAGAAGCTACCCAAACATCTCAGGTACGGGTACACTTCTGCTGGTACCATAGGGGTGCCAGACAATAGATAACTATACTAAATACCTCACGTACAGATTAGGTTCAACACACTGAAGGAGAAGAGCTATTAAGGACAGTGAAGGGAATGCATGAAGGTACCACGTACACCATCTTTTTTTAAAAAGCCAGGAACTCTGCTCATTTTTAGCTAAGTCATTAACATCTAATGTTCTGCTGAACTTCAAGCCACTAGTTCTTTCCAAAGAAGACAGTGTTAGAGTACCAAGAAAGATGTCTTAGGGCTAAGGAGAGGGGAAGGAAAAGAAATTCTGCCAACCAATGAGCCGGGTAGCATTGGCTGTGTTTTCAATGTCACTGAGGTCTCTGGATCTCAATGGGGCTCCCTTTTCCATGGCAAGATTCTGAGCAAATGTGGGGGTAATGTACAGATGTACCCACCAGTATCTGGAGGTCCAGACACTCCTCCTAGGACCACCATTTGATTCATGGGTCTCTTCTCTCACCCACCTGGAGGAAAGGTAAGAGACAGACAACTCCCCACAGGTTCATTCATTGTCAGAACACCTACTTCACTGTTGTGTATAAGAGATGACTGAGCCTGCTGTGGGGTGAGAGGCAGTCACACAAGATCAGAAACATGGAAGAATCATCCAAACACATGGTCTTCCTGGTACAATTGTGAGTTGTAGTGACAGTTCTTCCGAGACCTTATAGTAGCAGCAGGCAAGCATCCCTCTGAGGGCAAGTGACCCCTCTTAGTGAAGATACCTCCAGTCTGCAAAAATGGTAGTGGTACTTACATGCTATGACAAACACTGAGGCCCAGCCCAGACTGGCAAGGGAGACAACCTGGGTTAACTTCTCTCTGAAGCCATATGGCTGCCAATCTGGCTCAGGTGACAGCCAAACTAAAGTTACCGATGATGATGACAATGGTGGAACCCAGAAGTCTGAGAAGCAAGTTTTTCTAGGGTATAGGAGATTCCTTTCCTCTTGTGAGCACACAAAGAACTGAGCTTGCCTCCATGAGAGCATTAACAGCCTTGTCTAGGTGCAGGTTTCAGAAGCCAAGGCCATATGAGTAGGATACCTATCACACTGCTGGTACCCAGAGCAGTCTTTTCTTTAAGTTTAAAGAAGCTAACTTCAAGTCAGGAGCTGGTGGCTCACTCAGGAGACTGAGATCTGAGGATTATGGTTCAAAGCTAGCCTGGGCAGGAAATTCCATGAGATCTTTATCTCCAATAAACCACCAGAAAACTGGAAGTGGTCCTATAGCTCAAGTGGTAGAGTGCTCACCTCCATCTGAAGAGCTGAGAGACAATGCCCAGGCCCAGAGTTCAAGCCCCATAGCTGACGAAAGAAAGAGAAAGAAGGAAAGAAAGAAAGAGAGAAAGAAAGAGAGAGGAAAAGAAAGAGAGAGGGAAAGAAAGAGAAAGAAAGATGGAGAAAGAAGGAAAGAAAGAAAGAAAGAAAGAGAGGGGGAGGGAGAGAAGGAAGGAAGGAAGGAAGGAAGGAAGGAAGGAAGGAAGGAATGGAGAGAGTAAGAAAGAAAGGCAAGAAAGAAAGAAAGGAAAGAAAGAAAAAGAAAGAAAGAAAGAGGGAAAGAGAGGGAAAGAAAGAGAAAGACAGATAAAGAAAGGAAGAAAAAGAAAGAAAGAAAGAGAGGGGAAGGGAGGGAAGGAAGGAAGGAAGGGAGAGAGAAAGAAAGAAAGAAAAGAAAGAAAGAAAGAGAGGAAGAAAGAGAGAAAGAGAGAAAGAAAAGAAAGAAAGAAAGAAAGAAAGAAAGAAAGAAAGAAAGAAAGAAAGAAAGAAAGAAAGAAAGAAAGAAACTGATTGTTGTAAGACCTTCTCATAATGTTCCCCTTCCCCATAGAGACTGGACAAAGAAAAGCACAGCAGAAGACCCTCTGGAAATCCCCACAGGAGTGGTGTCTTTGTGTAGTCTTTGATGGTTACTTCAGTGACTAAGGTGGCCAGAGGTTGAGGCAGCACAAGCTTTGGTTCTGCCCACTCTCCTGAAGACATCTGCCTCTTTCCAGGCTAGTTTCCTACAAACAAAATGGTGATGTCAATTCCATCATCATTTCTAACTCTGTTAAATATCTCAAATACCTAATACTAATCACACAGAAACAGAATTCTTATTTTTTATTTAAGAGTGAACTTTGGAATAGACTAAATCTTTGTGGCTTTTACTGTCTGGGGTTGTAGCTCATGGTGATACCAGTACTGTGGTTGTATTTTATTCCTAAAGCTTCGTTTTTCAAACACTCTGGTGGAAGGGAGAGGGACACATCATTTGGTACTTCTGGATTGTGTCAATTATTAGTGAATAAAACAAAGGGGAGAAAGATAAGAAAGGAAAGCCAATTCTACTGACAGTGACTGAGTGAAGCTGACAGTTGTCTGTCCCTGACTCTGGCTGCTCCAAGGATGAGGAAGACATTCTTGCTCTCTCAGCTGACTCCATTCCCAGGTGTTGTGGGAAAATGCTGAGTGCAGGTTCCTAGGTTGGCCAGACCTGAGTTTGACCTCATATTTCTTACTCAACTTCATCAAGTCAATACTTCCTCATCTGTAAGTGAGGAGCTCCTACCTACCTCACGAGCTGTAAGTAGCATTGAATAGGGCAAAGTACAGAGCGCCAGGTCTCCAGCACTGGGTATCAGTGTGGACTCTTAACAATCAGCTCAGAGAAACTCACCTGGAGCTCTCTGCAAGCAAAGTGACCCAATCAAGGGTCACTTTGCCCTGACTGCTACAATCACTGCACAGAAGTATATAGTGTGAACAGGAGTCCACACATCTGAATCAGCTTTGGCCATCCCTCTTCATTTGTATCTTTTTTTTTTTCTTAAACTGAGTCACAGTCTAACTCAGCCTGTTGTAGGGGCAGTGACTTTGCCATCAATTACTTGACACCTACAGAGTCACTGGCACATAAGAAATAAATCGTTTCCAGAATGATGTTGCCAGGCTAGGGAGAGGACAAGGACAGTGACTTGCTAGAATTGGGCCACCTCATTTAGTTCTGGAGACAGACACTCATCTGGGTGGAAGCCCTAGATTGTTGTCGGCTCCAAGAGGGATCCTGGCAGCCTTATGATCTGTTGCTACCCCACATTCCTCAACACAGGAGAAAAAGCAGTTACTTTTCCAACAGGCCCAGTGTGTAGAACCAAAGACCTTGCTTGAAAATTAAGACATTTTGCCCTTCAACTGTGCTAGACGTTCTTTTTTTTATTGTTAATCAATTGATATGAGTCTTGCTTCATTTAACCACAGTAGAATTTCATATGCATTTAAAAAATCAGGACACACGAATCATAAACTGGTAGTACTTGAAGAGGTCCAGAAAGCACATTAACAAACTCAGATTTTACAGATAAGAGCTGGCCAGCTTTTCTAGGGATGCACAGTTCACATGTAAGAAAGCTCTACTGATCCCCAATGGGTGTTCATTTCACATGGTGTGGCATCCCCACAGTTTTGGTCTACACATAAATATATTGATATATGTGTTGCTAATAGATACCTAAAGCTCCACAAATCAGAGGTTCCAAAGCCAAACAAACCTCTTAACTAGCCACATATGTTTGCCATACTGATCTGTGATAACACCTAGATAAGCAGACCACATCCAGGAGCTCAGATCAGCAAACTGGAGACAGTACAAATATGAAAGTGCACTGGTGACAACTAGAACTAAAAAAAAAATCAAACGAGAAATAAGTTATAAAAATTAAAAAATAAAAAAACCTAAATAAACTCGCAGGTCATTTTCTAGAACAAAAGCCCTTCTCCTAACCACTGCCATGGTACCATGGCTGCTGCATGCAGAGTTACTAGTCTATCCCTTCTAGGAGGGACTTGGTATTAACCGTTGACAAGTGTTTTGCAGGAAGGCCCCTCATTTCTCCCATATAACCTTCAGATGCAGTCCCTCCTGCAGAAATACACCACAGCCACCTGTATGGGGAGAAGCTCTAAGTCCTTTCCCCAACACATTCTAGAGGACTTCTGGACTTTGTTATGTCCGTTTCTTTCCTTCTATACAATGTAAAGCTATTTTCAGTGCATCTGAGAGAAATCAAGCATTAGGACAAGCCGACCATCTGTCATGGGATGCTGACTTGCATTGCAGTTTGTCCATTAACAATTTGGAGTAGCTTGGCACCTGTGCACTGCAATCTATTCTAGGCCCTGGGATCTCAGGGGAGAATTCCAGGCAAGACCCTAGGGCTTGTAATGTAGGTATGCTGAGAACTCTTGGTGCTGCTATGGGTAAGGAGATGCCGAGCTAAGGATGAGTTCCTAAAGCCTTTGGGGGTATGGGCAGCTTGAGCTGGGCCTTACTTAGAGCTCTCTCTATGGCTGTTGGTCACATGTTTCTCTTTATAATCTTGCAGTACACCTGAATGCACAATGTAAACCAGGACAACCAGCACTTCCATCAAGGAAAAGTGATTTCTTCACCCACTTTCATGCTCAGGACAATCTGCCTGAATTCAGAGGTGTGCATATGTGTGTGCACACAATGCACACATGCATACACATACACACATTACATGAAGCTGTATATCTTCAAGCAAGTAGACTCAAAATACTGTTTACCATTAATAGGCATACCATTTCCTTCAGTGATGGAGGCTGATGAAGGCTAATGAGGTCAAAGACTAGAAG